CTACCAACAGTAATAAATCTTCTTGAAGATTTATTACTGGCCACATGGAGCCACACAGGATAGACAATAATACACACACCTGTCACTCCTAAGGCCAATTTAGAGGGAATCATTAACCTATGAGTATAACTTATGGACCGGAGGAAGTCGACATACCCCAAAAGATGAGGAGAAGCCCAGGCTGAGTTTTGATTCTCGGACCTTCTTGCTGCAAGAAGGTCAACACCAAAAACTACATGATGGTCAACATCTCTAAGAAATAAATATGAAAGGTTTGTGGCGCTACTCTGGTGGAATCTATTTACCAATTGACGTTCGGAAACCAGTTTGATTCCAGAATATTATTTTTAAGGCTGAAAACAAATACATGCCACACTTTTCAGATTTTTCTATTTGTAAAAACAGTTGAAAACCACACATTAATTCCTTCCACTACACAGTTATTACAGGCTTTATGTCCATAATGAAGTCTTTTGACTGCTCCAATCTGCTTTTAGCTTGATTGCCTTGAGCCTAAAATTTTCTTCCCTAAACTGCTGTGTGAAAAACACAAAGAGGTGGCTCCAACTGATCCACATCTTTCACTACACAAGCAGAAAATCAGCAGCTGTGGGATTTTCTTCATGATCATTTCATGAATAAATGTTATTAAATTAAAAAAAACAACCATAAAATAATTTATGTTATTTTATGTCCGAGGAATGGAAAATGCTCAAACCTACGAAGTAACAGTCTGGAGTGAATAAATTCATTGACTCAAGCATATTGTCGTTTCTGACAAAGTCCTGTTCAACTAAATTTCTCCCTCACCTGGAGTCCTTTTGAGGTGCATAAAAACCTTGGAGGTTATATGTAGAGATTATCAAACATCTCAAAGAAAAACATCAATATTTATTAATGCTTAGAGCTCACAGAAATCATCTATGAGTGAAATTTGTCTTGCTTGTCTGAACAACCTGCATGTACGGCTGATTTTGTTTTTGGAGAAGTGCACCGGAAATCAAGAGTCAATATGTGCATTTTTATGAATAACAACCAAAAAAAAAGATTTTGTTTTCCAGTGGGCTTCCTCCCTCCGCTTTAACAGTTTGCTGCTTTGACATGAAAGAGCAGATTACTGCACAAGACATTTATCTGACATTTAAACCTCGAAGCAGAAAAACTGACAGCATGTTGCGGGTCATATACAAATTTCAGAGAAGATGGAAAATATGTGTTTCTGCTTTCTGAGGCTCTCTCTTATCTTTGTTGAGTCTGAGGACTTGCATACCAGCTTAGCATTGTTCACTAAAAAAAAAACAGTACCGGTAAATGAAGTTAGAATCAATGCAAACCAGTGGGAAAAGTATGAAAAATGTAGTAATCTCCCATCAGAGGTTCTTTAGTTGTGTCACATAGCCACACTTTCACTGCCACCACCAAAACACTGGACAATATTTTGCACAGGCCAAACGAGACCCTCAGGTAAGAAATCTACCATGTCACATTGACATTAAAACTCAAAAAGCTTCTGCAAACTCAGATTTCTGCAAATTATGTATATAGTGAGTAATATGATGATATTAGCATCTTAAAATACTTCAGCACAAGCATCACAAGACATCCTGAAAACCCAATCTAAGCAAGCCTGTAGCTTTAGATTGAGCAAATATGGTGCTTAGAGGTTTTCTCAGCTTAAATACACCAGAAATACTTTAATGATTTCTGCCGAGTTCTGCAGGACTCTGCTGATGCTCCATTCATCTAAATCTAACAAGTTCAAGCTGGGAAGTTTCTAATATATACAGAAAAGCATCTCTCATGACCAAGGAGAGAGATAAAACTTTTTTTTTTTTTTTTTTTTTTTTTTTTTTTACAGTATAGAGATTACCTGGTTGTATATGTTTTAAATCAACAAATGTATCATTACCTTAAAAAACTGAATATTAATAGTAATTTTCTCTGCAGGACTTCACAAAATGGGTTTTTAAAATATCAATTGAAGAGGAATACTCTGCCTTGTTTCTGTTTTGGTTGATGACATCGTAAGAGGTAAAAGAAATGATGGTCTTTTTTTGAGTTGCAGGTTCAGGTTTATTTTAAACATGATTCAATTTATTTAAACTATTAGGAAGTCACATTTTCATAGAGTGCATTTCTTTCCTTGTTTAAAATAGAGTAGGTAGAAGAACTTCCTCCTAACCCACTTTTGATGAATTTCACCAAAATTTGGAGCCGCAGGGGGTTCAACTGCAGCTCCCCCTGCAGCTTTTTGTGTCTCTGCCAGAGTTCGACTCCAAAGACGGAGACAGCGATGCACGGACAACCTCAAGCTGACAGTGATGATGTCTATGATCATCTTTAGAACTTAAATCTGTTTTGTATGCATATTTTAGAAACAAATAATGACAGGGAACTTCTTTATTGCACAGTAATCTCCTCTTATCCAGTTAGATTTTTGAAATACATTTAAAATTGATGATAATGCTTAAAGCATTGTGAATCCCAACTTAGATAAGCTCAAAAAAATAATGGATGACTGTAAAAATCTGATTTGTGGTTGACGAGAACTTCTGGTTTGTTCCTATTATTAATTTTTACTTATAAGTTCATTCTCAAAAGGTTTACAGTTCTTGATTTTAAGAAATTACCTACTAACTCATATCTGTTTTGGGGCTTCCCTCCGCTTGCTGTTTTTTTTTATTTTGAAAGCAAAATGATAGATTAAATATGTGTGGCGCCAAAGCAAGGACTTCCTTGTTTGCTCTTTTTTATTTATCTTCATTTTTCAACACAAATTAAACGCTACATCTGCCATAGCTTGATGTAAACAAGGTTGATCTTCTTGTTTCTCACGTCTTCTGCAACTAGCATTGTAGTTTAACAAGGCTCCAGTGCAGCCCAGCAGGACCCCCTCTCCCACCCCTTCTCCCTCATGACTGTGTGTAAAGCCGTGGGAGAGGACTGGGAACATTAATCTCTTCAAAGGAACAGATCTAATTCAAAATCTGCCGCTCCAAACTAGTCGAGAGGACAGTGATTGTTTCTGCAGGGAAGCTAGATAAAGATCAGAGAGCTAACTTCAAACTTCCAATTCTCCACTTCTGCCGCAAAAGTTTTGGCGTGTTATCTAATGAAAGCTGCATAGTTGTACAGTCATTATATTATCTGAACTAAAACAAAAATTAGAAACCAAAATGCATTAACTTAAGGTATAAAATGCGGTGCATTTACATTTATGTCTGTCTAGTGGTTGCTGTGCTCCCCCTTTGAAATGCCGGCCTGGGCAACTACCTGCTCCATATCAAAACCACCACTGCTTGCACCAAACCTATACAAGTAAGTTACTTGAACCCATTATTTAATCTATTTCCTAGTCTTATGAGTCCCATATGTACACTAGTAAGTATTTGGATATACTTTTTGCTCAGATTGTTGAGGCTCAGTGGGCCTTAGACTGAATCCACTTCCTGTATGGGACCCATTTAGGCTGATTTAACATTGTAAATTCAGTATCATCAATACCAACGGAGTACCTTGTGTGACTCTTAACTGGCTCTCAAATGGGGTCAGATTATAGGAATCTGACCACTGGGTCCCTTTTGTTTAAACCTCAAATGTCCTGCAATAGACATTTAGAAGGAGTTCACACTGGACCATTATGTAATCCTCAGAAGTTTAAATCTTGGGTCCATCATGTAACTCATTTCTACTCTTAAGAACCCCATAAATGGACCGGAGCTTCAAGTTGTAGTACCGAATGTTAGTTTCCCATGAAGGTTTTTATTGGTATTGCAAATTGCATTGCTTAATAAACTTTGAGCATGGTTCTAATAAAACAATTAATTCACATAAAACAAATCCCCATCCCACAATGATGTAACACCCCTGATTCTTGATGTTACAAACTTCTGCTCTATCGTGGGTTTAATTTGCTCCATAGCTTGTGTTTCTATTGCTCTATAGCAAACTGAACCATGGGATTATTGTTCATGGAAATTCAGTTCCTGCCCTCAAAGGTGACAAAGAAACATAGTTAAAAGATCTGAGTGGAGCCATTTTGTTAAACCTGTGAATGTTGTAGGTCCCACATGAATTCTGCGCAAACCAGACGGATAAGCGCAACACGCAATGTGCTTCTTGAATGGGCCTCATATGTAAGTACTGACTGGGAGGAAATCGGTTCTGGAATAGATCCCAGCTGAGATTGTGTATGAGGTCTGAAAAGGCTGATTTCAGGACAGTTCTGCATAAAAAGTGGGTCTCATGTGGACCTTAGTTGCATTCATTTAAAGTCTACCAGCTAAGATGTAAGGCCAAATTATAACCTACGTAGCCTAAGTAAAAAAAATGTTATGGGGCCCACATATGATAGGCCCCTGTTAGGGGCCCCATTTATCAGTCGTGGCTGGGTATGGATGTTAACTAGAATTACTGTTGTAGGCTCCTATTGTTAGTGCAAATTTCATTGTTTAATTAGGATAGAAAAAAACCCTCTAAATTAGAATTAGCATGTGATAAAATAGATGACTGAAAAAATAATAATTCAGAGAGGATATAATTAAGTGCTTAATGCCAAGCTACAGTTCAAAGGCACGACAAAAAGAAATCTGGATTCAAATTAGAAATGTAAAAGAGAGGCAGATTCTTCAGAGATGAGAACTTCATGTTGAGTCTCTTGATTTTGGTCTTTTTCCCTCCATCAAACAACAGCAGTGAAAAAAAAAAACGCTCTTGGAGATCTCCAGAGATAACAATGTCACATTGTCACATAAGGTTCTGCTACAAATCCTTAATTACAAAAAGAGGATCAGATGACTACAGCATCCAATACCGGGGTCTCCAGGCGGCATGGAGGTCTTTGATCAAGAAAATCCAATTATTTGTGTATATACATTTCCCACATAGTGATTACTTCATTAATTGTCCCGCCTTTATCTCCTCCCTTCCCAGCCCCCCTAATAATCAGCTCCTTTATCCAGACCAACAAACACACCATAGGAGCTTTGTGGATTCAAAGGATTTGCTTTCCCCTCTCAAAGAGCCGCCATTCTTTGATGATTGGGCAGCGGCGAACTTCAAAGTAATAAATCTTATTTCTGACTGGCTGGCGGCCCACCAAAGTCCTTATCAAATTCTAAGAAGTGATCCCTCACTCTTCAGATAGACCGAGGATATATCGGCGAGAGGAGGCACTGAAGACCTGCTCCGACCAGAACCCGGGCTTGTTTTTTTTTTTTTTTCTCCTCCTCCTCTTCCTTTTCTCCTTTTGCTCTGAATGCCACATATTCATCAAAAAATTAGCGCGTTTGTTTATTAATAGTTTGCAGCGGGAGGAGGAGGACGCGCACCATGGCAGCGGTGGCTGTTCTGCGGAATGAAACCCTGCAAGCTTTTCTCCAGGTTTGTGCTCAACTTTGTGTTTTTCACTTTACGCTTCTTTTTTTTTTTTTTTTTTTTTTTTTCTGAACATTAAAAGCGGACACGTTTTACGCAGCGTCGATTTGGCCAAGTTCTTTCTCTCAAAATGTGTGAATTTTTCTTGTAAATATCAAGCGGAGTGAAGCGTCGCGGGTTCTGACTTCTTAAAGTTGGAGGCGATGCGTTTGCTGTGGATGGGAGTTTTCATTTATTTTTTTTGCCTGATCGCACGTGTTGAAAATGTATGAAAGAAAGAGAGTTCTCGTTTTAATTCGTCCAGTATGCTCTTGCAAAAAAAAAAAAAAGTTTATCATCCTCAATTAGTTTCCCCTCCATGTTATGTCCAGATACTTTTTTTTGTTTGTTTGTTTTTTTGCAAAAGTTAGGTTTCGGCTTATGTTTGTGTTTGTGTTCCTGTTTATCCACGGGTTGATTGTGTCTCTCCGTCCTCCAGGATCGCACTCCCAACTCCTCTCCAGAGAACTGTAAGCACTCCCCGCTGGCGCTCCTGGCCGCCACCTGTAACCGGATCGGACACCACCACGGATCCAACCACCCGGACTTCCTCCAAGTCCCCTACGATCCCACTCTGGGCTCCCCCTCGCGACTGTTTCACCCGTGGACTAACGAGGGGAGCCCCCAAAGCAGCCTGGCCGGCAACTCCACTTTCGGACTATCCTCCAAGCCTCAGCTGTCTGCGCACATCCAGAGCTCCTTCAGCACGCACCACGAACTGCCCCTCACCCCTCCGGCGGACCCCTCCTACCCCTATGACTTCTCCCCGGTTAAAATGTTACCTTGCTCCATGCAGTCTCTCCAGTCCACCTGTCCTCCCACCTACGTCCCTGCCGTCAGCTACGCAGCTCCGGCGCCCATCCCGCCCCAGATGCCGGGCTTCGTGACGGGACCGTCCGGCCTGGTCCACCAGCAGCAGAGACAGTTGTCCCCGAACCCCGGGGAGGACATCCCGTGGTGGAGCCTGCAGCAGGGCAACCACGTCGGCCACTCTTCCTCTCTGGGTCCGCACCGCTTCCAGCTGCAGAGAGGCTTGGTGCTGGGGCACACGGACTTTGCGCAATACCAGACTCAAATCGCCGCTCTGCTGCACACCAAGTCGCCCCTGGCGACCGCGCGGAGGTGCAGGCGGTGCCGGTGCCCCAACTGCCAGTCGTCCACCTCCAGCGACGAGCCCGGAAAGAAGAAGCAGCACATCTGCCACATACCGGGCTGCGGGAAGGTGTACGGGAAGACGTCGCACCTCAAGGCGCACCTGAGGTGGCACTCCGGGGAGCGGCCGTTCGTGTGCAACTGGCTGTTCTGCGGCAAGAGCTTCACCAGGTCGGACGAGCTGCAGAGACACCTGAGGACTCACACAGGGGAGAAGCGCTTTGTGTGCCCGGACTGCTGCAAGAGGTTCATGAGGAGCGACCATCTTGCCAAACACGTGAAAACGCACCAGAACAAGAGAAGCAAGTGCCACGAGAAGACGCTTGATCACGTCAAGAGAGAGGACACCAGGAATATGTTGTAACACGGTTCACTTCGCCCCATTTCGTACCCAGGCGTTGCCATTTCGTACCTGCACACTGTAGCGCTGCTTATCCGCCTCCCCCCTGACATTCCATGTTGCTATTCCCCGAAAATACCAGGATAATGAATGAAGAGACTTATAATTTAATTCAATCTCATTCTCTTTTCTGTTCAGTTGACTGCTGTGCTGATTTGTACAGAACAATCAACTCTTAAGAAAACTAACCGTTTATGACCCCTGACCTTCTAAAAAGATAACAATTGACTTCCAGGCCATGAGAAAATAAAGGGAAATTACTTGAAATATCAGCTGCCAGTTGCAGGGATGAAATGACCAAAAGTACAAAATGGCAAGGCAGCAATCTGACCAGCACTCCTTAAGGCTCAACACACCTGCCAGTTGTTTCAAGCAGAAGACAAACAGCACCTTAGTGCAATACAGTTTCAGTCATTAGTTAAAGTACAAATTAGGCAGCTTTTTTTTCTTTTCTTTTTTCTTTTTTTTTTTTTACAGGATATTTGGACTTTTCGGGTTGACTTCTTACATCCTGATTGTGGTTTTTGACATTTCTCTCTCTCTGTGTGTAAAAAGTTTAGTGAGTTCATTCAAGAAGTTCAATCAAGTTTGGGATATTCACTGTTCATATAACATCTGAGAAAAGACAAGTTTTATGACTTGTGTTTTGATTCATTGTCTTCGGTGGAAGATTTCACTCCCCTGTAAATTCTATTTAATAGCTTTTGTTGAATGAAAGTGTCTGTTTTTTGCTCCATATGGGGGTGTTTTCCGTTTTTTTATTCTTAAAAAAAAAAGCATGCTCTTGAAAAGATCTGCTATCGTTGCGATGACCCAAAGTACTGCGTGAAAATAAAAGTTATTAAAAAAAAATGTGCCCCTCATCTAAGGAGAGTTCATTCAGTTTGCCCCTGTTGTCTCTCTGAGGAGGCGACAAGACATTTTTAAAAAGATGATTTGCCTGTAAAAGCTCTACATGAGTTGCAAAAGCTGTTGCCATTGTTGAAAATGTCCCAATAGAAAACAGATCCATTTGATATTATTCCAATGATCAATTGTGTGGGATTAAACTATAAACTCCTCTAATATTTTCCTTTTGATTTTTGGAGTTTAGAGACTGAGGAAAATACGACTTTGATCTGTTTTTTGAGTCTGTAAATGCCGTTGCTTTAGCAAAAACTGCTGACATTCTTGGTTATTTTTAAAGAACAAAAAAAGAGAATATTTTTGCCTAGAAAATGTTTACAATAAGTTAAATATTTTTTTTCTAAATTTAAAAGCATTAGATTCCAAGCTTCTTCAGTTTGTATTTAAAAAAAAAAACTTTTTTGTTTTAATTAAAACTATAGATTTTTATATTGATATACGGGTTCCAAAGGTGAAAACATGGTGCACCACTTGAGCAAAAGGTTTTTAGTCGTAACTTCATGAGCATTTTGGATATACATGAAGGATAGATTATAGTTTTTTTCTAATTAATATTAATATTGTTTCCCTGAAGTTCAAGATCCTCAGAATAAATGTTTCTTTTCACAGATTTAACTTTTTTTTCTTCCTGTATCCTTTAATGTATTAAATGATTAATTTGTTTAGTGCAGGAGTGATATTATTGGCTGAGTGGACACCAAGAATCACTGCACTTTGAAGAGTTGGACAAAGTTACATAGACGATTCTTAAAATATGATTGTTAAAATCTTTTTTAGTTTTTTTTTTTGTTTTGTTTTGTTTTTTAAGAATAGAGCTGTCTGTTACAGGTTCATATGATTCTCAAGAGAAATTCAAGTGTTTCATCTTGACCTTCTTCACCCTCTTTCTCAGTTTTCTGTTGCTAAAGTTCTTCAGTCCATGATATTGATCAGCACAAATAAGAAGCGATAAAGACCTTTATATCTAACGGGTCCAAAGCGTCAGTCAGCGATTCATCCATCTGCTCCAGCTATTCAGTAAGTAAAGTCCTTCTGCTGTCATGTCTGTTTCATCTCAGATCAATAAAGTTGTCAGGCTGAGCTGCCACTCAGGGAAGTTTCAGCTGCTAGTTTTTTGGGAGTTTTTTTTTTTTTTTTTTTGCCGCAACAGCGCCCCCTTTTGTAAGTTTTGTTGTCTTAATGGAGCAAGAAAATGTTAGTGTTTGAAAATAAAACATGCCAGAAGTCTTAACTTTTCTTTAGTGCATATTATCCTAGAGAAACGTATTTGAAACTTTATTGCTATCTCCTGTGTTTTCATGCAAGTCAAGGAAACAGCTAAATCAGTAAATTAGTCTTATACCTAAACGCAAACCAATACATGCGTACTGGATTTATTTCTCTACTAGATGGTATCTTCACAGTTACTGGAGTTGGATATGACTTATTCTTGATCAGATGTGTAAAAATGCAAATTATGTAAATAATTCTCTCTAATTAGCTGTTTAAATTAATTTAATTCATATTGTTTGTTTAATTCACTGCTGATTTATTGTTTTTACGTATCATTCCACTGAAGCCTACAATGTGCTGAAACGCATGCCAGGAAAGCTGTGAGTAATATCAAACGTTTTTTTTTCTTTTTGTAAAATAATCTCTTTAACAATGGCATGTTTTTTTTCCCCCTCCACAGAAATCTGAGAAAAGTGAAAGGAACCAAAACGACGCAGCAGGATGAGATTTCTCAGTGCGAGCTGTGAAGTCTTTATCCAGATTCTGATCCTATTATAAAGCGACGCCTGCGCCGTGCAATGGACGGGGAAGTTGAGTGCAATTAGATTGTTTCCTCACAAAGGTTTTGGTTTGAGTTCGGTGTTAAAGATATAAGATTTTGGAGGCCGTGATGCTTAGCTGTTCACAATGTATCCACAGTATGTTGTGGTTTAATATCATTTTCCAGAATTAAATAAAATGATTAGACGTTTCACATTTTTCTGTCATTGACCTCCTGTCTGAATGGAGTTTAAATCTTCATATTCAGCACATTATCTGTATGAACCAGATCACTTTGAAAAGCCCTTCCGATTTTACTGCCAGTTCATTTATCCAAACTTGTGAATTGGCATTGAAAATGGACAATTTACACATCAAATATAGGGGGGAAATAAATATTTTGTGCCTTACCTCAAGTCAAATCACTATTATATCCTAATCATGCAAAAATAATATATCAAAGCACAGTGCTATGTTTATTTAATTAATATGGCAGCTTTTCTCATACGTGAATTGAGGTGTATCCCATGTGTTTGCACAGAGAATGGAAAATTTGTCAAGGCACAAACACACTTGCACGCCTTTACTCCGAGGTTTTTGACATCTAAAGAGACGCAAACAGCATTGTTTGACACCCAGCAATTCATCAAAATGTAAAATTAGCAGTTTTACAGCTACAGTCAAAAAAAGACTAGATAGAAAAAAATTAAAAGCTTCAGTCTGATTAACTTACTAAACCTCTGACTGTTGCCTTTGACTTTCCCTTTGAGCCTTGCAAGATGTTAGTATTTCTTTTTTACTTTCTTTGAAATGGTACTTTCTTTGTTGCAGTACTTGGAACAAGTTGCAACAGTTCATAGAATCAAATATAAATGTTGTAATTTTCTGAGTAAGAAAACTTTCAGCAGCATTGAAATCTATCAAACTAGAAAGAGTTACAAGGGTGTTTCTAAGGTTTTGGGACTCCAGGAAGCGCAGCTGTTCACAAATGGAGAAAACATGAAATCTGATTACCCTTCTTCGGAGGAGCGGGTGTCCTCCATCCAGGAGGTGACAAAAGAATCCTAAACCACATATTTAGACAAACCTGTGAAGACACTGCTGAAGTAATCAATGTGTCTTAAGATAAAAACGTGAATAAGTTTCTTGGTGGTACATTATTCCTTTAATGTCAGAAATGTTCTTTAGGTGACAGAAGGCTGACTTTGCAATTGTCTTTATGTGCCTCTGAATGTTCAGATCCATCACTGCACCCAGATTTTGGGCCTGATCATTTCTTTCTAGCTGCAGTAGCTATGAGCGGACTCTTGGGATCTCTTCAGATGTTTCAAATAATCAAACAGTTAGAATTTGTTTGATTACTTGAAACATCTCACTGTGACCAAGAAAAGCCAAAACATAACAATTCTGTAATAGAGATTGATTGATTTTGATTTATGCAGATTGTTTGGGACACGAAAACAGAGAGTTGTAATATTTGCATCCAGAATAAATGGTGTTACCAGCAGTTTAAGTTGGTGCTGCTTCTCTCTTGATCTTAAATGCTATGAAGATATTAAAAGGACTTTACATATAGAAGTTTTAATGCTGATTTTCTAACTTCTTGCAGCAGATAGCTGTGCTGCAGCACTGCTTTCACAGGAACTGCAAATCGAGATTCACTTTCAAATGTGAATCTGAAAAATCCACAGCTCCCAACATTGTGTGTGAAGTTCCTGCTAAATTGTTATTTCCATCAGGCACCACAACAAATCTCAAAATAATCTAAAGATACTGAGAAAAAAAGTATCACACTTCCTCCTTTTTCTCTTTGGTCAAACCGATTTGATCACCGGACCGCCTTCTGATCAAATATTCTGTTGTACTCTGTCCAGTGTTTCCTTTTTTGTGTCTAAACTTGATAATCACACATTTTTGTTGAATTATTCATATTTAATATTTAAGTCAGATTTCCTGATAGTTTGATTCGTCAGAGTTGGGTTAGCTGACTGCTGCCATTCCTGCAGATGTATTGTGACTGATTGTCTTGGAAGATGAGCTTTTTTGGAGTTTCAGAGGAGAGACTTCCAGGAAGGACACTAAGATCTCTCAAATATAATTTAAATCAGTTTTACTTTGAAAAGATGAGGAACTGAAATCAGATTTTAGTTTGAGTCCAAATTTAGGCATTTTGTTGAAACTTTGAGTTTCATTTGAAGCAGGCAGAAAGGCAAAAATAATTCTCAATGTCACAGCTTTATGACTTCTCTGAGAAGCCTGGGTTCATTTTATGGTATTAAATAACTCCTCTGATTGCTCCCAGTCTTTTTTATTTATTTTATCAATTTACATTTTTATGGGAAAATTAAAGGATTGCTCTTTTGTCCGTATTAATTGGCTCTCAAGAAAAAGTGGTAATGGGTGTTTAAAGCATGAAAAATGGTTAAATTGGATTCTGATCCGACGTCGTGTATCTGGACATATAAAAGTGTTCCGATAAAGAAGAAATTTTATGCCACTTCTGATTAAAATGGCGAGCCTTGAATGGAAATTTGTGTGTGAGGGGTCAGAGAGAGTGCCGGGTCTCACGCTGGGCTTCATGTTTTATGCATCAGTGCAGTGATTAAAATGTAATTAAAACATGTCAGTGTCTCCATACCAAGCCTTCCCTGTCTCTCACTCTCGGTCTTCATTGAATATATAAACATGTTTTGATGCAGATAAGCATTTACATTCCTGCTTGCCGTACCAACAACAAGCAAACAGAGCGACTGCAGGGACCAGTGAGGATGTTTTTGTTCCAGAAGCAGTCAGCGTTCAAACTTTCTTTTGCTCTGTCCTTTGTCTTTGTTATATTGAGCAAAGATAATCTGTGTCTTTATAAGCTGGTATCAGTTTTACATGATAGCTAGAACAGTGTCACCTCACCAACACTGATGGGAAATTATTAGTCTCCTGTTAGAAGCTAAAAAAGATAATCAGTTCTAGTTTTTTCTTTTCTGTTTTTCTTCATCATTTACACATTCACAGATGTCTTCCAAAAAGTTAGACAAGAGTCTTGACTTTCAAACATTTGGTTCAGATTAAAGAGCACTATGATCACATATGTCATTCGGATGTAAGAAGTTAGTTTGAACTTGTTTTGTTTTTAATTGTGTTTGTGAACATCTCAGGTTCTCCTAATATGAGTTCCCGTCTAAACTATTTGAAGAGATAAACTGCATTGTAGGCCCTTCTGTTCTTGCTGTTTTTACCAGTAATCTGTCCTTGGGTGTTGTTTCAAATGACTTGAAACATGCAGTAGAGCAGCACTGTCAATCCAACTGTACAGGCAAGTTTTAGTACAAACCGTAAGCTGTTTCTCTGTTTGAAAATTTTGCAGAAAACTATCTACAGACAGCTGATTGACTTTTTATTGGCACATAACACTTTGGAGCTCTTTTGGCTGGCTTTAAGTCACATTATAACACATAACTGCACTGGTCACTGTTGTGTACACTGTGTGATGCTGATTTTATTGCATGAAACAATTTCATCATCAATACTGTAGATCACAACATTTTATTACCTTGTAAAGAGCATTTTATTATCTATTTCCTTCACTAGTCCAGGTCGGACTTGACAGAAAAGACCTTCTGTGTCACTCTGGGCAATTTTAAATCATACTCTGATTCCTTTTCCTGTGAGGTCCCACTGGGCTCAGTTCTTGAGACTCTATTCTTTTCATTGTTTCTGTTTCCTTTCCCTTTAAAAAGCACAAACGTGCCTTTGCTTTTTATGAAAATAAAACTAACCGGTTTACTTTCTTCTCAAACAAGACGTCTCTCACTCCAAGGAGTCATTGTTGGAGTGTTTTGAAGAAGTATGAGTACGGATGATTCTTTCTTAATTTTAAAGACAGACAGACAGAGGTTATGTTTTTTAGTCTTTGTGCTGTTTTCACATCTTGCTGGGCATATCACCTGATACATTTTGGACTTTTTTTGACTCAATCTGCTTAAGTTTTAAGCACCTTTATTTGTTTTGGATCTAAAATGTTGCATGAATTCTTCAAATAAAGATGGTATGTGAACGAGTATCTGTAGTTTTTATTAAACTGGCCGCTTTTTTGGGAATTGACGTAAAGTTGGATGACATTGCAGCAAATTCTTTTGCAGATCAACTGATTTTAGCCTCTTGTTGCGTGAATATGGCGCCATCATTCCAAAATATGAAACGCAGCAACATTTTTACAGAAAGTTTCTGGATTGCTACATTAAATAAGGCTATCTCATACATATACATATACTTATACATACAGATCCTATGTTTGTTTCACCCAATAAAAACTCAGACAGTCTGTTGGTTTACCACTGTCAGTCCAGCTCCTGACTTAAACTGAATAATAACGGACTTTTTTCACAGAAAAAAAGTGAAAGTGTTAAACTTGACTGCAATAAGTCCTGCTAATTTGACACCACACTAATAAACTCAGTTTTAATAGCCTTTTTAAAAGTGATAAAATCAATAGTCAGGAAAATACTCTGAGAGTATTTTAGAGTTTGAGGCCATAACAACTAAAAGCAGCCTCTTACGACCACATTAGTGTTTAAGCATCATTTGTAGGGTTACCATTGGATAACTTTAAAGTTCCAGCTGGGACATACCTGTTAATCATGTCATAAGGAGATGCTGTGAGCGAGGTCCTGAAAACATTTCATAAAGAATGATCACATTTTTCAAAATCTGAAAGGTGAAAGTGGACTGGAGGAATTTGAGTGTCAGAGAGAAGATTTTTCTTTTTCCACAAAATGAGAAACGGTCAAAATAACGAAAAAGACACAGTGCTTCCAGACCTCAAATAAGGCAAAGAAAACAAGTTCATATTCATTCAGAAACAACGATACCAATGTTTTAACTCAGGAAGAGTTCAGAAACCAATATTTTTTGGAATAATCGTGATATTTTCAATAAATATGTGTGTATGCATGTGTGTGTATGCGTGTGTGTGTGTGTGTTTGTTCAGTCTTGTATATATTTTATATTGTTGTAAAGCTTTGTCATGAGCTACCGTAATTCAAAATGTATTCTAGCTTTCATTCAAACATTGATAACCTGTTTGTTACTAATTCATTTATTTACTTTTTTCTCAAAAGCAAAAGAACATTGATTTCACAAACGTTCTTTCTGTTTTGTGAGAGTCGAGCTAATAGGTGTGTTTTCACTTTCAACTTTAGTCCTTTTAAAATTCTGGCTATGGCCCTGAAGCATCCTATGATTGCTGCAGATGTTGTCATAGTTTCACCTGATTAAGTAAGATCAAACAGGGCTTCTCACACGGTGCAGCAGTTCATCCCAAATCCTCCGCTCTGAGCTGCAGGTTTCTCGCCCGTGTGTCACAGCGCAGCTTCTCCCAGCAGGTGTTTAACTTTTGCTTTTTCAGGGAATTAATCTGTGTCTCCTGAATTTCGCTTAAGATCTCATTCATCTGTATCAGTTGTTACTCTTTGGTATTTATTTCCGCCCTGTCTCATGAAGTGTTAAAGTTAGGCCGAATGACACTAAAACTTTTTAGGGTTCAGTTGCATCACAGAGGCACACAGGAGCATTTGTTAATTTATTACATTTTACGTGACATCTCTTTTAGTGGTCTTAATTTGAACTCTCTTTCATTACTTTCACTTTTGAAGGTAATGTCCATCATGAGCAGAAATGTCACAGCAGATTGGCAGCCCTCACTTCTTTCATTCTCACCCTCTCCATTTGTGTAGTGCTCCCTCTTGTGGCTGTTTTAATTAATCTTCAAGGAAATAGTGAAAATAGTTTGGTCTTTATTTGTAGACACCAAATCTTTATAGTAGGTTGAATGGTTCAACAGTAGATGTGGAGAAAATAAACATTAAGAATGCTGAACATGTGTCCAGGAAAAAAGGCAAAACCGATTTCAGAGGGTAATCCATCTGAACAAGGTGTTCTTATTATTTTCTCACAGTATGCTCACTCTTACAGTTACTGTGCCTTGCAGGCCTACTCAGACCACGTTAAGGTTATGCTTTGTCACATTAAAGCCAATAATATAATTCAATTGCATTGGGATTTTGTGCCATAAATCAACACAAAATAGATCATAACTGCATATTAGCAGAAACATTATCCATAGCCTTCAAATTTCTGTTCAAAAAGTTTAAATGTTCTGTGCGTTCCTGTTTAGCTGTCAATACTTTTTAAAACCACATGTCACGCCAATTTCCAACTCTGCATATTTAGAGACTGAAATGTCTGCACAGAAAACCTAAACACACATCAGGAAGCTCTTGCGCCACAGATTGGCAAAGGCTCATAGATCTGCTGAAAGGTAAATCTCTGCCCCCGACTGAAGTGTACTGGAAACCTTGAACAGGTTTTCTTCCAGAACTGGCCTCTATTTAGCTTCATCCATCAGCTCATCAACTCTGACCAGCTTTCTGCTAAAGAAAACCTGCCACCCGAGCTTCAGATGTCTCCAGTTTAAATCAGTTTGCTGTCTGTTGGTTGAGTGGAAATCGTGTGTTTCTAGGCTTCAGGTTGTGCCAAACTCTTTCCATTTTCAGATTATGGATTGAACAATACCCTGTGAAGCTAGAATGTTTATTAAAAGGTGTTTTGGTTCTACTGGATTTTATTTAGGGTTGGACTAGATGCTAGACTAGTCCAATCCAAATGACCTGCTTTAGTCTGTAGAACTGATGTGAAATGATAATTTTGCCTCCCTTTGCATATCATGAATCACAGTGATGAAAATCTTAACTGCAGTATCATAAGAAATGTTAAACATTCAGCCCTTCACATATTCAGCATTTAACAATGTGTTGAACATCCACACATCTTTTGAAACACAACAGTATTTCTTTATAAGGAATATAACAACTAAAAGTTTGGACAGTAACATCAGACTGAACTTGAGGCCAGATCAGTCCTGGACAGGATGAGCAGTTCTCAGTGACAGTTCCAGAAAGAAAATAGAAATGATGTTTTAGAGAAAAGAACATGCAGATATTTATGTAATAAAATGTAAAATGGATGTAAACTCATTGTCAGCTGAATTAGCTCTGACACAACAGATCAACAGGGAACCAGAGCTCCGGTCCTCCAGGACCAGACAGTGTTTTCCTGGAGCTGTCCAAGTGCTGAAAACCGAACCGTCCACCCCGGTTCTCAACCACGGCCTCAGTCTGCTGCTCAACATGCGACTCGACCTTTTTAAAGTCGCCTTCCGCTCCATCCATCACCAACAAAGCCAACAAATCATCGCTAAACTGCGGCTGTGTGATCTTTGCGTGCGGTCGGTTGTGTGTCCACTCGTGTCTCTGCCGTCGCGCGTGCCTGGCGCGACGTTCCAGATTAATGCCTCTGTGTATAATTAGATCCGTGAAATGTTTCGTTTTTGTTTTTTTTAATGGAGTGGCCCACTTGTCCTCCTGCAGGAACCATCTCTGGGTTCTCGCTGCCACCTTCTGGACAGATTGTGTCCTGCACTTTGAATGTGTCGCAGGTTACATCAACACCTGCCGGTGTGCACATAAAGAAGGACAATAAAATGTGACGTGGAGAGAGAGGGGGGGAGGGTTATAAGATGTGTGACTGTGTATAAAATAATTGCTGCTAAACCATTTTAGCAACAGTAAAAATAATAAATAAAATAAAAATAACCCTCATCTTATCAGAGTGCTTCCTTTTAATTAAATGGCCTAATTAAAGCCGTCTTTGGGCGCTTTCTCTCATGTCGCCCCCCGCCCTCACCCCCTTAGAACAAAACCAAAATCTCCTCCTTTCTCCTCCCTCCTTCTTTCTCCCATCCAGATCCCACCTCACGTAGTGTGTTGTTCATAACACCAAGCACCATGTCCGTGACCAGGATCCCAACCAAACCTGAATAGAAAACAGTAACTACTTCGGGGGGAAAGTCGCACTTTGGGGGCCGAAACCGGCGCCATTTGGAGCCAAACGCGCAGACAGTCTGCAGACAGTCTGCAGACTGCTGCTGCTGCACCGGGGGAGCTGGAGGTGCTGCTGGAGCTCCACGCTGTGACTCACCGGTGCGCAGAGGTTCACACGCACAAGCAGACGCTTTTTTCCGTCTTTAAAACAAGAGCAAATCAAAGCCGCATCTTCACCGGTAAGCGGGGGTCACCTTGACTGGGATCTATGGGAAGTCTGGAGCTCAGGTTCTCTCCTCTTCCTCGCGTCGGTGGAGAGGGAGCGCAGCAGGATCCCATTCAGGATTTATAAATATACACTTTCCGAAAAAAGAATTGTTTTTTTGCGGGTGGGAAGTGGAGGTGGACTGGACCTGTTCACCTGGACGCTCTTCAGCTCGGTAAGTGGATGTGGGCATTTGTCCGTCTAGACATTGCAAACTGAAGAAGCTCATTTATACCTGAGCTGCTCTAACAGGTGTTTTCTTTTTTAATAGCTGATAGCCGCTTCTTGTTCAGACAGCTTGTGTTTAATTTGGACGCGTCTCTCTCTCTTTTTTGTTTTCTAATCAAGTTACTTCTCTCTGAAAGAACAAAAACCTCTCTGGGTTATTTTCTGTGACATGAAATCATCGTATCATTGATGAAGATCCTGATCGCACTATTCATTTATGGAGAGAATAACATCAGAATAAAGTTTTTATAATATTTCTTTATTCCATTCTTTTTTCTTTTCTTTTCTTTTTTTTTTTTTTTTTTTTTTTTTTTTTTGCTTTGTCTTATTATTAAAATATTAAACATTTGCTGGTTATAATAATCTTGAATCTCTAACTGAGCATTGAGCCAAAAATGGTTATAATTATCTATTATTACATTGTAAAATTAAGGCTTCTATTATGCAGATATTTTATTTCATCTTGCAGATTTCAACCTAAACTTGTAATACAGACATTAAGAGTCCTTGTCCAGACTCATTATATATGTTTAGTTGTTGAGGTGTTTAAAGATTCCTCTGGGATTTCAACACTTCACCTTCTCCTCTCTCCTTGTTTTTTTTAAAGGGGAGGGAGGAGGAGAAGAAACGAAAGAAATAAAGAAAGAAAAAAGTGAGCAGGCTTTTTTGACTCTGGCTCAGGGTCTCTGGGAGAGATGGCGGCGTCTGCACCCTCCTCCTCCTCCTCTTCCTCCGGCCCCGGAGAGGATCCCAACTCGACAAATTTACGGCCGCCGGGCTCAAGTAGGTCCATCACAGATAAAATGCTGTTTTCACTCGTGCTATTTACTATATATATATATATATATATATATATATATATATATATATATATATATATAAATATATATATATATATATATATATATATATATATATATATATATATATATATATATATATATTGCCCTGAAGTGCTCGCTAATTCAGTCACATTAAATGGACCCTAATGGCTCTCATGATCACTATGGTCTTCATTCAGCAGGAACACAGAGAGACCACTCAGCCCGGCTGTTCCCTGCAGCCTTTCCAAAATAAGAATGAAATATTGAATAAAGGGAGAAATAAAGTTATATCTTGGATTATTTGATAGATTGTGAAAAAATATATATTTTAATCTGTTGTTTGAATTTTAACAAAAGATTGATTTCCTTCTTTATTTTATTTTTTTAATTGATTTTCTTTTGCTGTTAGCTGATATGTCCGATTGAAGGCGATAATTGGACCTTATTAGGCCCGTGATTTCTCTGCTTTCTTTCCGTATTTCTGCAGCCTAAATGGTTTTTATGGTCTGTGCATTTGCACATCTGCTCATTTAGGTTATCTCCTTCCTGATATGCCTCCAGCTCGAGAAAAATCTCTTCAAGTGCGCTGAGCATGTGGGGGCAATGATCTATCTAATGGTCCAAGGCAAGGGTTAAATTGGGATGCTGGTATTGGAGCGATCACCACCCCGCCACCCCACCTCCTCTCTCTCTGCCATCCCCTCTCCTCTTCTCCCTGAAATCGCACGCTACTGAGAATTTTGCTTTCGCCTCCCCTCCCAGGTGCCCCATCCCCTCTGAGTCTGGAAGCCCTTGATAACGCAGTAATTCTCTATCTGTCACCAAGCAGCCGGCTGATGTCTGCAGAAGTACCGTTCGCCTTTTTTAACCAGCATCTTTTCATTCTATTAGACCAGCAGGCTACAACGAACCTAAACCTCTAATTAATGTGGAAGGCCCGTGGATGATGAATGGGAGACGCACGGTTAACCATGCAGGCAAATCCAGATAAATACTGTGTGTGTGTGTATATATATATATATATATATATATATATATATATATATATATATATATATATATTTCTCCGTATATCATGCACGTCTCCATAAGCAAACCCCCCCAAAAAAAACACTCAATATAGAGAATGAAGATGATATTATAATAGTCTTTGTTTTGTTTGTTTGGTTTAGGTTATGATGCTTGGTGTGGAGTAGCTCATGGATGTACAAGAAAATTAGGCATGAAGATCTGTGGTGAGTTTGTATATGTGTATTTATTTCTGGATATTACACTGTAAATTGTTTGTTGTTGAGATAACAATAAAGTGTGAACCTTTATTGCTGTTATTTTGCAGTTTAACCTCACTGTTAAGTGAATGTTAAACTATTTCAGCACAAAACCTCAGTTCTGTGCAACTTATTTACAGTAAAAATGATTGCTACAAATCATGTTTGTGCATGATTTACAGTATATTGTAAAAAAATGGAAAAACTTCAATCAAATCTAATCAAATTAACTTACAGTAAACAAAACATTGCAAATCTACATCAATATGATGTTTGCAGATTATACAGCCCAAACATGCTGAGAATAGTTTTACTGTGAAAATCTCTACAACTTCACATCTGCATATTGCTTCCATAGTAAAGAGTTGTTGTGAATGCACCGATTTACAGTTTAATCGACAAAACATGTTTTAGAGTGGAAGGAGACAAGGCTGTGTTTGACAGCGTGCTTTACATCTCTCATGATATCAGTGCACAGTTGTCTGTGCACTGAAAAATGTCTATCTAAAAATGCAAAGAATGCACACAAAAAACATATTTATTTATTTATTTATTTATTTATTTATTTATTTATTTATTTATTTATTTATTCTCTCTCTTAAATTGCAACCACATTTTAAATTCAACCGGCAGAGAAAAAGCGTCACCAGAGGTTATCACGCCCCCCTCATCCTGTGCGGGAACAAATGAAAGAGGGAAATTATGTGGGATGGATTTTCCCATTTCCACTTTGAGAGTCTATTTTCAGTCTGACTCCGGCCAACGAGGACAGGCTGACGTCCACCGTGATGTTGAATATCACGCGTCAGTGCGCGGCGCGGCGCGGCTTTCTGCTGCGTCCCGCTTTCCTGCTGCTTTTCATTGCGAGCATTTAATTATCGCAGGTGGTTTGAAACGAAAGAAGCAAAAAAGAAGTAGCTAAACAAACATATCTTAGGTAAAAAAAAAAAAAAAAAAAAAAAGATGCCGGCCTTTTGAAACTTCTGCTGTCATCCCGATGAGGCTCCTCTCTCAGCGCGGCCTGCTGGAATGAGGCGCTCCAATCGTGTTGGCTTTTTTTTTTTTTTTTTTTTTTTTTTCCTCACATCGGCTCTTGAGCTCCTTTCTGCCCACCGCCGTGAAAAATCTCACGCTTTAATGGGGATTTACAGCCTGTACATGGCAGCGATTTGTTTTTGCTTGGCTGGAGTTTGGTGCTGATGTCATCGCCGGCTTCACCTTCCAGATCCCGCCTCTCCCCGCCCGCCCCCCACACACACACACACACACACACACACACACACACACACCCACACACACACACACACACACACACCCCCCCCCCTCCTTCCCCCACCTCCAGCCTATAAAGAGGGAACTGATGGCTCCCTTCACTCATAAAAAACAGACCGAGACGATACGGTGCATCCCTGTGGGGGAGCGAAGGGGGGATTAGATAATTTAAAAAGAAAACACTTACCACTGAGCTTTTTTTTTTTTTTTTTTTTTTTTCCCCCTTCTTCTTCATTTGCTTTTTCTACAAACATGTTTGGGCAGTGTGGTCATCCTCCGGACCCGTCTCCTTCTTGTAATCGTGCAGGATTCCTGCAGAAGAACAACAGTCTGGAGGAGAGGAGCAGGACGGGGAGCTCCCTGAAGGAGCGCGCGGCCCAGAGCCTCATGGCCTGCGACAACGCCGGAGGAGACGCGCGTTTCAGGCGGACCGAGACGGACTTCTCCAACCTGTACGCCAGAGGTAGGCTGCGGGAAACGACTGCACTTAAAAAAATAAATAAATAAAAACATTAATAAATTCAACTGTAAGACTTGTTGCAGTCGGTGGAGAAGTTGATTTGTGATTAAATTTAAAAAAAAAATAAAAAAGCTCACTTAATGAAATTTGTGTTAGAGGCAATTCCTCATAAAATTTTGCAACTGAAGTTGCAAAATTCATAGCAAAGTAAAAATTAAATGCAGAGTATATATGATGTTGCTGCTAACCAGAGATTTGATTGAGATCAATTATCATTAATAAATAGCTGCAGACCTTTTCCTGACTTATGAAAATCCTTTGATTGTAACATTGCGATAACAAAAAAACTAATAAGTGTGGCATCAAATTTGATTTTTTGATTATTTTTTTTATTCTGATACTAATAAATGAATCCAGTTCAGCCTTCAGACTTCACACAATAAGTCAAAAATGTTCTGGAACAATCTGCCGACAGGAAAATATTTAATCATGGACAAGACAAATCCAGCCTTTCTATAAAAGTGGCAAGAAACAGCATTTGTTGAGAGAAAGCTATAAATCCTGTTTGCTGTGAGAGATGAACAAGACACAACAAACATGTGGAAGAAGGCGCTCTGATAACTGAAATATATTTATAGCACAAACTGATAATGAATGTCACCATGAGAGCACTATCAACAGGGTGGTGGAGGTGGTGGCAGCATGATGCTGTGGGGACTGATTTCTTCATGAGTGGGGACAAGGAAGGTGGGCTGGAGAGGAAGATGGATGTATTTTAGTAAAGGTAGTCCTCAAAGAAAACAGGTCGAACACCAAAAGACTGGGGTGAATGTTCTGAAAGGAGCCATGCTTGGTTTACTAGCTATTCAACTATCCATCCATCCATTTTCTAACACCCTTGTCCATAATGGGATTGGGAGGGGTCCTGGTGCCTACCTCCAGTACCCCTGGAGATAGGCAGGGGTGCTGGAGATAGCTCGCCCGGAGGTGACCCCGCCTCTCGCCTCCGCGGGATCACCCTGGACAGGTTGCCAGTCCAGGGTGACACAGAGACAGACAGAACAAACAGCCATGCACACAGACACTCACACCTAGGATGAATTTAGAGAGACCAGTTAATCTGACAGTCATGTTTTGGACTGTGGGAGGAAGCCGGAGAACCCGGAGAGAACCCAGGCACGCACAGGGAGAACATGCAAACTCCGTGCAGAAAGAATCGAACCCAGGACCTTCTTGCTGCAAGGCAATAGTGCGAGCAACTGAGTCATTGTGCAGCCCTGCTTTTCAACTGAAAGACAAAATCAGCAGAAATGTGGGGATGTAACTGGCTGAAGTTATCATTAGCTGGATAACCTTTTACAAGATGGTGCAATGTATATAGCGGAATATTAATTCGTCTGCGTATTGAACTGATTAGGTATTTCCATATAGATGAGGATTTTTGTTGTGGACCAAATTGAGACCTTTCAAATTTTGCAGATCTGCTACCGTCAAAGAACGGAGAGGAGACGACCTTGCAGTTCTTGTTGGAGGTCGTGGAAATCCTCACCAGCTACATCAGAAAGACCTTTGACAGATCCACCAAGGTCCTTGACTTCCACCATCCTCACCAGCTGCTGGAGGGAATGGAGGGCTTCAACCTGGAGCTCTCCGACCAGCCCGAGTCTCTGGAGCAGATCCTGGTGGACTGCAGGGACACTCTGAAATATGGAGTGAGAACAGGTAGGAGGCTCAAGAACGGCAGCCGGGTCGATAGCTTGCATTCATTCACAGGTGCCTCTTTATCGCTCACAGGCCACCCCAGGTTCTTCAACCAGCTGTCTACTGGATTAGACATCGTGGGCTTGGCAGGAGAGTGGCTCACCTCCACAGCCAACACTAATATGTGAGTACAGTTGGGATAAATCACACTGTATTTGTTCCCATTTGCTTTCCAATGGTCCATGAAGAGGGGACATTATCAGCTGGAGGAATAGTTGAAGTGATGGACAGTAATTACTGTCTCCGGCTGAAGAAAACCCCACAACTCCCTAATGGACTGTCAGTCAAACCAGGAGATAAAAGAACACAAACGAGGACATTAGTGCAGCTACGCCCCTGCACTGTTGTCGATACCGGCCTGTGCTTATAGGAGGTGGATGCATAATTCAGCCCTGCAGGCAAACTAAATTGCATATTGATTAGCGTTCACAGTTTACATGGTGTCTTTGTTTCATGTTATGCCAGTTCCTGTGACATAACAAAATGGAAAGAAACAACCTCAGCTCACTCTGAGCCGTGTGTACACAGAGTGAGCAGCATCCCCGGGTCTCTGTGGGAGGTTCTGTCCTGCAATAAATCATTTTCATACTAACTACGTCCCTTCCTTCGTTTTGTGCGATTGTAAATCACAGAATCCTTCATTGAGCTACGCCGGTGGTCATCATGGTGAGTGCATTTTGCAGCAGTGTACCTCATAAACAGATACAGCCCAGTATCTCCATGACTGTGGAGATAACGCCAGCTCAGGGTTCCCAGAGTTCCTACAGCCTGAGATCAATACCATAAACCAGAGATTTATGCCTCTATTGTTCACCCTTTACAACTTCAGCACCCTGATCGCTAAATCAAACTATCAACTACTGTATGGAGTGAAACTGAAACAAAGGACTTGGGGAGGAAGTCAGAATTAAAAGCTTTATACTTTGCCCCTAAAATAATAATAACAATAAAAAGAAACAAAATACTAAAGTAGTTCTGCAGAAATTATTCTCATCCACTAGATCTTTTATTCATTAGGTGACTTTAGACAAAAAGCAAAATGTATCCACACAAAACACATGGTTGACACAAAAAGAAATACTTAAGATATAACAATCTAATTTTGTCTTAAACAATAAAAGATCTTTAGTTAATCATCGCCTTACTCTTGATTAAAGATTAGCTAAATACATATGCAAATCACATAATGCAGATTTGTATCAGCTAGAAATCTTTCTTTTATACAACCATGAACTTCTCAATTAGATAAAATTTCTGAGAGAGATATTGAAGGATTTGTTGCAACGTGACAAGATGCAGAAGAGATTTTATGTTTTTTGAGACACTGCATTCCAGTAATCTGTGTGTAATACAATTTATCGGCTTAAAATAAACACCTACATCCAATTTTACAGCTGCTAAAATGTAGAGGGGAAAAGTCATCAAATCAGACCACAGAGTTATTCTTTAGTCTCAAACTGTCAAGCTTAAGGTTATAACTCTGAAAATCATTCTGTGTTCTTGTGAAACACAACAATAAGTCATTGCATAAAAGCCCAGTAAAATACATTTAAGTTTAGAGTTTTAATATGATAAAGTGGGAATATTTTCCAACATTATGATGATATTGCAGGATACTCTCTGCTTTTATTCTTGATAAGCTGAGATAAATATTATAAATTTCCATCAAACCTTAAAAACTGTCCCATCTTTTGTCAGTGGCAACATCCCTTCCAACCTGTATGAGGTTTCTTACGCTCCAATTTACCTTTATTAATTACTCCATCACTTCTAATTATGCCAGATAAATATTGACTGACACTAATAGACTGACAATCACATTCTGCTCTTTCATAATCAGAGTAACTGTGGCCTGTCTGCAGGAGTGAGTGCGGAGAAATTAACGCATGACATCTGTGACTTGTTTGCTTTCGGTCTGCACATGTGCCTCTGCTGAAGATGCTGAGCCACTCTGCAGACGTAATGTAATCTTCCTCAGATTCATTTTACTTGCTCTGCATGAACGGACAGTACACTTCTATAATTAGAGTTTCACTGGTCTGGAAAAGATGGATTAGTCTGCCAGTACTGTAATTCCAAATTGACTGTGTCGCAGAGAGGCTTCACAATGTGTGGCTCATTTGAACAAGCCCCATATGCTCCTAGGAGATAAAAGAAATTCATGGAGAACAAAGCACCGCTTTATTGTTATCATTTCTGCACAATTTTAACCAAATGGTGCACTGCAAAGAGAGAACGCAGCAATGAAATGGCTTCTATTCATCAGATTGTAAGTGTCCTAGAATACTCAGAATGTAGATACAATTAATTATTGTCATTTGCAACATTTAGTTGAGTTTATTTAATCTGGATAAAAACAGCTTTTGTTCTTTACATTGTTTATTATCAATTAAGTCAATCTATTTGCATTACAAGAGCACACAACAACATAAGTATTTTTTGGTTTATTCAACTGTGTTTGGGGGAGAAATAAGAAATAAAAACTTTTATATACATTACAGTTTTGACCTAATTATTCCTCTGACTATCTTATTTTTTTCAGCAAATTACCTTTTTTTAGTCTATCAATTAATCGATTACTAAAATATTTGACAGTTATTTCAATAATCAGTTCTTCACAATTAATATGATTGATCAGTTCAGCCCTAAAATGTTCTTGTAGAAGGTGTTAAGAGTCTCTGATGGTTTTCAGAGCAGCAGATCTGAAACAGGTCCCGATAAATGATACCAACAACTTACACTTCTCAGATCCCCTCGTTGTCTTCTACAGGGCTTTCTCATTTGCAATTGTACAGCTGGAGCACCATTTCAGTCCCAGTTTCCTCAGAAAGTGATCTCAGCCAAAAGCGTCATTCGGGAACTCAGCACTGATCTTGTGATCTCTGGAAGTCAGTGTCCATTTGAAACCTAAAACAGAGCTGTGTGTAATGCAGGAAAACTCTGGGTTGGTTTTTTGTTTTTTGTTTTTTTGTCATAAGTAAGTGTGATCATTTTGTCTGCTTTAGGTTCACTTATGAGATTGCCCCTGTTTTTGTGCTAATGGAGCAGCTGACGCTCAAGAAGATGAGAGAGATAATTGGCTGGCCGAACGGAGAGGGAGACGGAATATTTTCTCCAGGTAAAAGGAAAACAAAAGAGCTTAAAAAGAACACAAATCTTGATAAAACAAAGCAAAGTTCAGTCCAACGTGCTGCTTGTTATTACATTTGTCAATGTACCCATGTATACGGCTATTTTGTTTTGGGTCATATTAAATAGCTGAAAATTTGCACTCTTTTGCACTTGATAGGCGGAGCTATCTCCAACATGTACAGCGTGATGATTGCCAGATACAAGTCCTTCCCTGAAGTCAAGACCAAAGGCATGGCAGCTGCACCCAGGCTGGTGCTCTTCACTTCTGAGCATGTTAGTGCAGCACTTCTTCCTCATCATCTCCACAATTTAGACCTGCTATCTTAAGCTTACAGTAAGCTGGATCTGTTCATTTGATGGTGTTTTTGTTCCTGCAGAGCCACTATTCCATCAAGAAAGCAAGTGCAGCTCTGGGATTTGGAACAGAGAATCTCGTACTATTAAAGACAGATGAGAGGTTTGTTTTGTGTTCAGTATAGTTTGGAAAAATATTGTAATATATGGAACACTGATGCTGGTTTTATTTACAGAGGGAGAGTCATTCCTGCTGATCTGGAGGCAAAAGTAATCGAGGTCAAGCAAAAGGTAAAAATAGACCTCTGGCAACACCTCACCAATCAGCTTTTTTCCCTCCGTCCAGTCCGTCCTGCAATCAGAGACACTCGTATGAGCTTCAGCTTTGTGTGCCGGAGCAGACAGGCCACTTTAATGCGACCGCTGCTGCTGTCACTTCACATTATGACACCACAGCCTCAAAATTTCTCTCCAGGAAGTAATTTCTGTAGAAGAAATGAAAGTAGAGTACCAAAAGAGGGATGCATTAAAAGAGAATTTTCTTCTCTGCCCATCTCTTTGATGTAAATAATCACATTAGACCGAGTCCTCTGCTTTCTTCTGCTTTTCAGGGCTATGTTCCGATGTTTGTGAACGCCACTGCTGGCACCACTGTCTACGGAGCCTTTGACCCCATCAATGAGATCGCAGACATCTGTGAGAAGTATAACATATGGCTTCATGTAGATGTAAGGGAATATATAATTTCTACCTTTCAACTAACTGAAGACTACATGTTTGTCATCCGTTGTACAATTTGTATGAGTGTTTCCAGTGTTATTACACTACAGCATGTTGTGCTTGTGCAGGGTGCATGGGGAGGAGGCTTGCTGATGTCCAGGAGACACAGACACAAGCTGAATGGAGTAGAAAGGTAAAACATCCTGTTGAGGGAAAGGCATGTTCAGTACAAAAAAAGGAGTGTGTTAACTGTCCTAAAGAAAAAAACTGAACCACTATAAAGCTTTTTTTGTGTGTGTGCCATGCATGCTGGTGTTTCTACAACACTTTGTACAAGTCTAAACATAAAGAAATAAACCACAATTTGTTAATTTTTTATAGTATGCCATTGTTTTGTATATCTCTTGAGCAATGCAATGGAAAAGGTGCAGTATTTACATTGTGCCACTGTAAAAAAACACTTTTCATTGCATAAAGATATTTTTAAAAAGTACATCAAGTAATGTTTTTTTAGTTGTTGTTTTAGTGTGATGAATATGCAACTAAACTGAGGGAACCCCAAATATCAAAATCAGAATTCAATCTGAAAACACCGGTTATGATTCCCAACACTGCAACTTCTTCCTCTTCATTTGACAAGTATACCATTGGTGACTCTAGCTGAAATTACGTCTTTCTACGTTTTTAGTTTGCTGTTTGTCTTTGCAAACTTGACACACTCAATCCCTCACAGAGACGTGTTTACTGTTTCCATGTCTGTGCAGGGCGAACTCAGTCACCTGGAACCCTCACAAGATGATGGGAGTGCCACTGCAGTGCTCTGCCATTCTGGTCAGAGAGAGGGTAAGTCTATGTCATCCATTCTTCTGTCGGTGAAGATGCTATGATCAGTGAAGTTGAACACAGCACTCTTTCCTCCTGTTTATTGCTCATCCTCATTGTTCTCACTGCAGGGACTTTTACAAGGCTGCAACTCTATGTGTGCGGGCTACCTGTTCCAGCCAGACAAGCAGTACGATGTCACTTATGACACGGGGGATAAGGCCATTCAGTGCGGACGCCATGTTGATATCTTTAAGTTTTGGCTCATGTGGAAGGCAAAGGTGAGCAATTATCTGATTGAGCTCACTGCCAGACTCTAACGTATTAAAGAACTGACTGTAATTTCATTTTCTTTTATCCACAAAAAAGGGAACAGTAGGATTTGAGCAGCACATAGACAAGTGCTTGGATCTGTCGGCGTACCTCTATGACAAAATAAAAAACAGAGAGGGATTTGAGATGGTGTTCAAGTCAGAGGTGAGCTCTAAACAGCTCTTTCCACAAGAGCTCTATTAACCTGCAAAATATTGAGGCAATATTCATAATTTACCCTGGTTTCAGCACTGATTAGATCATTTTACTTTGCTGACACAGTAACAAGCTGCACCCGTTCCAAATGTTGTTCTCTCTTATCAGCCACAGCACACTAATGTCTGCTTCTGGTACATTCCTCTGAGCCTCCGTGGCATGCCTGATGGGAAAGAGAAGCGCGAGAGACTGCACAAGGTAATGACTCATTAATCTGCAAATTAAGTCTCTTTTCAAACTTCTCTCCTCACATGTGGCTCATTCATAAAGACACACTCGTGGCAAAGAGGAAAGAAACAAGAAAAAAGAATTCACAGTCTCGAAGCTTTCACATTCAATCACATTATAGTCACAGATTTGAGCTTTTTTTATTTATTTATTTCATGTGACAGGACATCACAAAGAGGTGTGTTATTTTGAAGCAGAAAGAAAAGAAAATATGATTTTAAATTTTTCAGCACAATATGGCCAGAACAACTTGAAATGTATTTGGATTTAATCCCCCTGAGTCAAACCTTCTGAGCTTTTTGCAGCACATTTCTGCTCCATGATGCTTCAGAACAAAATAATTTGTTTCTACAACACATTGCTGTGGGGAACTTGTTTTGATTTTTAAATTCCTCCAGAAGGCACCGCAGAGCAGATTTCTAACTGTACAATATCTGCAACAGGTGGCTCCCAAGATCAAGGCCATGATGATGGAGTCGGGTACCACTATGGTGGGTTACCAACCGCAGGGAGACAAAGTCAACTTCTTTCGCATGGTCATCTCGAACCCTGCAGCCACCAGGTCAGACATCGACTTCCTGGTTGAGGAGATTGAGCGACTGGGCCATGAACTGTGAGAGTCTACAGCAGATCGTACTCTCCGACATTAACGAGTGCTGAGCTTTGCTGTACCCTTTGTCTTTTCAACACAGTAATATTTTTTGCCTACCAGTATTTTCTGCCAATGCACAATTACCAATAATGTACCCAGTGTGTTTTTGTCTTTAGCTACGTTGATGTATGTATTGAAAACATTTGCACATCTGACAAAAGACAAAACAAAACAAAAAAAGCACAGTGGTATTCTCGTCTCTTATGCAAAGTGGGAACAAACCACAATAAGGTGATAAATTGAAATGGGGTCATTTTCATGTAGAAACAATCTGTTTACAAAGAAAGTGAAATATTGTTAGAAAAAGAGCATTCAGTTACACTCCTAGCACATTACATGATTTTAAGACATGAACTTGAGACAAGAATAAGAAAGAATAAAAATCTGGGGATTTAATCTTTTATTGTAATTTTCGGTAAGAAAATCATCAAAACTCTGTACATCTAGCATTTTCTCTGGATTTCTGGGGAACAACATTTTGATGGATTTATCAATTTTACATATGCAAGTTTTCATAACTGAGGATTATAATAAAAGTATTATTTACAGTAGTATTACAATAGAGGGGGGAAAGTTGTAAAAGTTAGCATTGGCATGACAGCACAGCTTGCTATTGCAAGCAGATAGAAAAGCAACACTTGACCATTTTGTGATGATAAAATGAGTGAGCACCCCTCAATGCTGGTGTTGTTGAGGTTCAATGCTGGAGGTTCATAGCAATCAGCACTTGTACATTTTCATCAGAGACCAGTACTGAGAGCTAAAAATATGACCCTGCTTTTTGCAATCTTAGACGAGCATTAACTTGTATTGTAACTGTAGGGGGCGCTGTTTCATACAGAATAACCACAAAGAGTCCTGCGACATTGTTTCCCCATGAGAAATTATTGTCCCTTTTCTTATTGTTCCATTTTTTCTATACATATTTTAAAGCATATACTTTGCCGGCCCCAAATGAGGTGTGGAGACTTTTAAAATATGAATCTTGAAAAAAAAAATATTTATTTTTATGTGTTCAAAACAAAAATCATACATTTTTAAACTGATGTCTGATGAAATAATAAAATTACAAAAAACATGTCCAGACGCCATGATAAAATTACCTCTTTTAACATCTCATATACTGTATACCACCAGTTTTTCTAGAATGGAAATGCTGAGGAAAGTTCAGTTCATTAGCATCCAGATGTCGATATGTGTAATAAGTGAATTATACTGAGAAATACTGTAAAGCCTATTAATTCAGAAAGTGCTTACATTAAAAAGTTGCCTCCCCCCTGTGCCTGTAAAGCAGCCACAAAGAATGTCCCTCAATGTGTTATCTGTGTTAAAAATACAATAATCCAATATATTTTCAGACATAATAAATACAGTTATAAGAAATCTTCACAACATAGACAAAAGCATAAATAACAGAAATGTAAAAGACGTAATAATTGTTATCTGTGTTGTATTTATCGAGCCAGTTGGGACGTTGTAGCAGTCGCTGCTATCGACTGCAGTGACTTTGTGTAGATTGTGTTTCATTGCCTCTGAGCCAAATATGTCTTAGAATCACAACGAACAAATTCTGTATGTAAATCAAACATTTGGTATTATGTGTGACAAATTATTTGATTTATATAGAGAGGCTTTTATTGTGAATAGTATATATATTATCCTTTGTTTGAAAAAAAAAAAAACCTCTGCTGTAAAACATGTGTTGGTGTGTTCGTGAACCAAAGGATTAGATTACAGTCATGAATATTCTCACGGAAATGGATTTAACTTTGACTTTAGTGCAAACGTGGAGCCATGCAGTGTCGTGATTCATTGACTGAATGTCATCAAGGCTCTCTGGCCGTCCGGCTGCTGCTGACAAAAAGCACATTACCGAATCATGTTAATGAGGCAGCTTTAAATTTAGAGACATATGATTGTCTGTACTATATAATGTGAAGTGGAGTATGACTATAATATGCAAAATTATGATGGGTATGTGCTTTCTGTAGGAATAATTTAGTTTTTCTTAAAAAAAAAACTCTGCACTAAGCATTTTTGCTTGAACCAAGTAATGTATTTGCTACTGTAATAAGACTGAGTAAACACCTGTACATTCCTGATTTTTGTGGGGAGGAAATGTCCCTTGTAGTTCTTAATGTGGGCACCTTAACATGACTAAATAACTACTGTATTCACAAAACTAATAAAGACATGAGCTGTAGATCATCTGCAGGCACAAGTATCTGTGGTTTCTTTGACAGGCTTAAGGATCTGATGGGGAAAAAAAAAATAACCACAAATGGACTTTGGCAGTCAGAGCAGAGCTGGGTGGAAGAATGGAATGAGGATGCAGAATTTCACAAAATGTAAGGTTTTTAAAACGTGCCATGAAGAAGTGTTGATTCTGCTTCATGCATGTTTTGGTAGATGACATGACAACAGGCTAAATAACAGTGCAATTAGTACGTATTATAGCAAATGAGAATTTTTTGGGGGGGATATTTTGAGATATTTTCAGAACCTTCTCAAACTGTGCCGTTTGTATTTTTCCATCAAGTTTGTTTCTGTGCATATTTTCCTCTTGCAAAATGAATAAACACATTATTTTGCTTGCATCACCTTAAATAGTGTCATGATTAGCCAGTGCGGCACAACGCATGTAGTCTAATCTCACAGGTTGATCTTAACAAAGCTATGTGGTTTCTTCATGAGTATTTGATGAGGTGCTAACTGGAATGATGGTGACGGTAATTTATGGGGTGAATGCATGGACTTGGCTAATTATACAGTTAGTTTTTCATTGAGGAAGATGCAGGGTGCATCTAGGATGGATCACCAGCCTATTACAGGATTCTCACTTCTGAGGACCAGTTCATCAGATAAGGATGAATTATCCACAGGTCAAAACCTGTAGATAGAAGCTGGAGTATCCTTCCAGAGCTCATGCATGCAAGTGGAGGGAGAAAATGCAGAAGGATCACAAACTGTGATTTGAACTCAGGACCTTCAAGCTGTGAGATGGAACAGCAAGCAGCTGCAGCACTGTTCAGTTCACGTCTGCTGTCATTGTTTGCTGAAATGGCAGGTTTTTCACCATAGTATTCAAATATTATCATTGCAAAATAAAGGCTGTGCATGTTATCCTTAATATGTTGAAAATATTATTTCATCTACAGCATCAAATCATTGGGTTGCATAAAAGTTCAAGTTCTTTATTTAAACATTTTTAGCCTGTTTTTTTCAGAGCCTCCTCTCAGTCCTGTTAGCACCATTAGTCAGATTAATCGCCCCTAAGAGACTTTTTTAAGTGATTGATAATCTTCCATCTGAAATTTCATGAGCCCCCATAGCCGTTCTCCTCGTTTCTCCCTTTCCTCACATTTTTTTTGTCATCAAATGCATTCATCTGTGATCTTTTAACATTTACCTTTTCCCCCCCAGGCCCCATAGAGCCTATTTCAAGGATCTGCCTCGCTGTGTTTTATCTCGACACACTCACAAAAGGATCGACTGACTGTTTGAGCGGTCTCCTCCCTTCCTCCACCGGGCCGACGCTATTTCTTTGTTTCATGCTTCAGTGCAGCAATCATTACAGACTCGATGTCAATGGAGGCTTTTGTGAAGCTGCAGAAAACGGAGCGGTGGAGGGAGTGACCACTGAAAATCACCTCTGACTTCCTTCTACAGGAGTAATTTCTGCTATTGTTTGGTGCTTTTTTGAATGATTGTATCCGTGGAGGTTAAATGTTCCTAAAGCATAATAATGCAGCTAATTTGGAGGCAGCTGCTGGAGAATATTATGATTGAATGCAAATGGAAACAGGTTTTATAGCTCCTGCAGTCAGTCACAGTCTGGTGGGTTTTGGAGTAAATCAATGTTCCATATCAGAGTCAATCAACTCATAATGTGTGCCATTAAATCTATAATAATTGATCAAATAAAAAAAATTAAAAAAAAGCTGAAACATGGAGTTCTAATAAAAATCTGAAAAAGCTTTGAAAAATGTTTAAAATGTTACTGATGAATATTCAAATGTGGTCTAAGTAAAATTATTATTTAAACAATTTAAGACACAAAAACATGACCTGCTTCTGTCACTTTAAACCAAAGTGGGTTTTATTGTTTTGTTGTTTTTTTTTACTTAAATCTAAAACAATGTTTTGATGTTTTCAAAACAGATTCTTCAAACTTTAACCCATTAACCTGCTGCAGTGTGCAGATTATTTTTCACATGTCCTGTTTCAGCATTTCAGACTTACCATGCCGCCCTGTGCAGGTGCCCCTAACAAGCCCTCCAGTGACAGCAGGGCATCTAGTTGTTGCAGCTATTTCTGGATGGTGGCTTGGCTGACTCCGACTGTAAACTTTCTAAAGTGTCTCTGCTCTGGTCTGTACACAGATGATTCAGCCCTAATCAAAATAAGTCCAAGACAGCATTCATTAGGGGAGCATAAATGTTGTTTTTTTCCTTTGAAAGACATCAGTTTGGTGGAAACTTTAAGCAAGGTTTCCATGTTGAGTCACTGACCATCTTCTCCTCTGCATTCTTCTCTTCCCTTCCCTGTCTCTCTCTCTCCGTCTCATGAATTCATGGATCTTGTCAGTCCTTCCCTGATGTGCTAAATATATCTCCCGCCTTTGGGAATCACTGCCACATTAGTTTCCTGATAGATACTGACGCTCCTATTGTGTGAGGGAAGTCTAATGAAAAGATGATATTGACTGCAGGCTGCCTGCCAGCCCTTCCCCCTCCTTCATCCTCACGCTGCTCACACACACAGCCAAGCAGACTAGATGCTTCTCTTTGACTTCGCTTTAACCTTACATTATCATTATTGTTAGCTTTGATAACAGCTTTGCTTGTGAGAGTGCCCTAAGCATATAGAAGAAGAATCGCTCATTAGGTAATTCGTCTTTAGGTACCAATGTAATTTGAGCATTTTTGTGGTTAAATCAAAGACTAACTGCACTGGACTAAACACTGATATCCAGATCAATTATAACACCTTAAGGCCTCCGTCTGCTGAGCTAATTGTAATTGGTTACACCTATCTAAATGACCTTCTCTTAATGATTACATGTCCATAGACTGATTAATATTGGTGGAGACTGAATGTTAATAACTGATGAATAGATTAATAACTTGTCCATTTCCTTGCAAATCTAATTTGGCATTTCTTTTAAGAAAAGGCTTCTAGTAAAACAGAGTGTTTTGGGGGCAAAAAAGGATATGAGCCCCTGTGCAGAAATACTGCAGCTTACTGACTCATAAAAACCAAGATAATGTTGGCAGGGGATTGTTATACAGGCTTGATAAGGAAAATACACTGTTTTCTGCAGGATCAGTGATTCATTTCCACTTCCTGTAAAAAAGAAAAGAAAAAGAAAAGCTGAGCAGACGAGGAGGGAAAATATGCGATGATGTTCAAATCACAATGACAAAGTTTCCATACTCCTTGAACTTTTCCACCTTTTGTCCGTTTGGTACCAGACTTCAAAGTATTTTCTTCTGCAATGGACCAACACAAAATAACACATAACTACAAAATGGAAAGAAAATGTTATGTAGTTTCAAGGTGAACATATAAAAATGCGCAAAGTGTTTCCAGCAGTTGTGTTCAGGCTCCTATTTTATGATATCTCTAAAAAAATAAAATAAAATAAGCACAACCAGCTGCCTTCAGAAGTCAAGTAATTAGTAAATGCAGTCCGTCTGTGTCTTAACCGGACATTTGGAGCAAAGAAGGATTGTCTTCTGTTGGTCTTTCATATAAAAACCTAACTAAAACGGGTAAACTATATGGTAGCAATGTGAGAAAATGTGGAAAAGTTTGAAACGTTTGTGGAGCAGAGAAATAAATATAAATGCATTTATATATTAGACAAAAATATTCTGGACCTTTAAAAGATGTGCAGCATTGTCTCTGACATTAATGGCTCAGGATGTTTGTAGCTTCCGTTTTGTTTACAGCACAGAAACCCAGCCTGTGGAACTGGACAGAGGATATTTTTCTTACAGGCTGGATTTTTGTGGTTAAAGTGACAAAATAAAATGCTATTGCACTGTTTTTTTTTGTTTTGTTTTTTTTGCAGCTTTATTTGTAAAATCTTGAGAGAGTGCAGAATAATAATTTTAATGCAGCGACCCAGAGCAGTGGTCTTATTGTTTCAAGGCAACACCAAGCAGCTGCTCAACTCTGGAGTTTATTTATCTACAGCCTGAAAGGGTAAGTGTCTCCATGCAAAACACCGCAGCATATATATATATATATATATATATATATATATATATATATATATATATATATATATATATATATATATATATATATATATATATATATATATATATATATATATATATTGTTTGTTTGTTTGTTTGTTTGCCCATTTGTTTTTGTGAAATCTAATTTGTAATTATTATTTTTTGGTAGATATCCATCCATTGTTTTTATTTTTTTGCTTTGTTGTCTAGTTTATTTTAGTAAGTTATTGACACACACATTGATGCCCCTAACTTCTACAGAAACACATCAATTCGTGTTAGTTTATTGTGCATTAAGAGACGGGGGACACTGACACGCATTCGTTTCAAACAGCCTGCAGTTCATCTGATTTGTGGTAGGGGGCAGCATTGTGTTAATATTGCTGCTTCAAGAATCGTTCTACTAAAATGAAAGCCGACGATTCAAAAAAGAAAGAAGTAGGAATATTTATTAGTTAGTAGTAACATCTTTATTTTGGGCAGAATATGTACATACAACCTCAAACTGCTTTATTTAATTGATGCTTTTCGAAGCAGTCAATGATTGTGAATTTACTTTTAGGAGTTAATTCAGCACTAAAGTTTGATTAAAGAAATACAATCAAGCTAGTGAGTTTAGAGAAATTTTTAAAAAGAAGGGAAAAAAAGGATAGATAGAAAGAAAAGAAAACATATGGAAATCTTGACATTGAGCACATTGATAAAAGAATGGACTGAAATAGTGACGCTTAAAAAGAAAATATACAAATCACATGAAAGGTTCAAATGAAAGGAAACAGTACAACAAATGTAACAAATCACTAATATGCTGCAAGTTGTTTGAGATTCTAAGTATTTCAGAACCTTCCGCTTTTGAACAACTAGGAATTTCCAAACTCTTGAACTTGTTGTCAAAATGAAAAGGAGAATGTACTTTTATCTGGGAGGTTAGAGGCTTCTGCTGATAAAAGAAAAAATCTGTCAAAAGCAGCTGGAGAAGAAATGGCATTTAGTTTAAATGCTCTATCACAATCAGATAAATTCACAATCTTCTAGAGATTACAGTTATCTCGCACTTTTTCCTTCCACGTAACTTTTCATTAATATGCATGGATACAACAATCCTCACCAGCAGTTCCCAATTCAGGCTGATCTTGAAAGGTGTTGACGGCATCACCTTTTGTCTATCCGCTTTCATTTCCGACTGGGCTTCTGTCAGCTGAGTGTTGTTTTTTAATTAGCTGCCAGTGTGAACGTGAAACGCCCTATTGCGGTCCTCTGAAAACACCAGCGTGTCGTACTTTTTATTTTATTTTATTTTATTAATTTTTGGGGGGGTGGGGTGACGTCACAGCTCGGGAGATGCCGTCATCACACAGCTGGTAGGGAGGAGGGAGGACTGCAGCACAGGAAGTGCTGCGGGACACCACGAGCGACGGGCATCACGACATGATTCTCCCCGACGGAGCCGCCTGCTAAACCAGCGCAAACATCCCACCGCGGCGGCCGGACTCAGCGGGGGCATGGGGGGCTCTCAGAGCGTCCAGATCCCCGGTGGAGGATCCGAAGGTTACCACGTCCTTCGGGTAAGAGCAGCTGTAATAATAACACTGACGCTCCTCTGGGAAACAGGACCCGCGCGCTCACACTGCGGTGCGCTTGGCGTGTATTTGACAGGGAGCACGAGGAGGAGTCGATACGTCCGCCATAGAAAGCAGTTCCTCGTCGCTTTAGAGGAGAATGCAGACTAAAACAGCTGCTCGTGTTTTAACGTGGAGCAGGTTAACGCGGCTGACGTGGAGGGTCCGCTCTGATTTGGCTGCAGCGCGTCAGGAGAAAAACACATCTGTGAATCTAAATGAGATGAAATGTTGTACGTGTTTGTTCTCATCATCGGTTCGCAGCTCTCAGGACATTAGTCTCCTCGATGCCAGAATAACCGGTGTGGCCACTGCATGACTAATGGAGCAAGGTGTGTCCTGTCCCCACCTTCTGTCTGAATAGCAGTGATTCTTGGGACGGTTTTACCAGAAGCACGTCCAACTCTGGACTGAGGACAACATATCATTTGGAGATCGATTCTACCCGGACCTACTCTCTGCAGAATTGGGTCAACTTTACTAAAACAACTGAGCTCAAAAACAGAAAACCATGAGGTCAGATAAAAAGTAACATGTGAACATGTCAATCATTTACAAAGGGTCCCTTTTAGCTTACCTAATGCTGTCAGTCTCTCTTCATTCATTTTTTTCTTTATGAAAATTATAAACAAAAACAGCAGGGCTTTGTATGTAATGCTAAGATGGTACACAATAATGTACTCTATTATGCTTTCAGACAAATTTAAATGGAAATGGTGAAGAAGAAACTGAAATAATATCAGCAATAATGGCAACTATCCAATCAGATTTGGCAGAATCACAACTATATCAATGTAAAGTTCAGCATTATTCTCACATGGTTTGAGTGATAATTTTGTTTTCCTTATACAATATGTGCCATAATATCACCCAGCGCAGACCTACACTATACAACAGGACTTTTCAGGTATTATGAAACAATTTCTATTAAATCCAGCTTAATTTGGCGACAAAATTGGCTACTAAAAAGCAAAGCGTCTTTTCTTTTTCAGTTTTTACGTTGACATATTTAAGCAAATATAAAGGTAAGCCATTAGTTAATATAAAATAGAGAAATGTGTATTTGACAGACCAAAATTATTATTTTACACTTTTTGGCATTTTTCTTGCAAAATATAACCTTTAAAAATTCAGGCATGCTGCTGTGTGGAAAACGGGTCACCAAATGAAAGTCTGTGCATTTTCCTTATATATTTTGTTAAAAGTTTACGTATTTAAAATTCATTGTAAAAGTTGTTTTGTAAAAAAGGAATTTTAAAAAATCTCAATTTCTGAGAAATAAATTTGGATCCCCAGATATATGTTCTTACTTACAGTGGCTAAGTCGTCTAGTGTGACGCATCCAGTCACACTGGAAGCGTCATATCGGTTGCACGTAACAGAAAAACATTGTTACTAAATATTCGGAAGGATATTTGCCTCATTTAAAAAATCTCAAAGCATTTGAGGGATTTAAAGAGACATGAGAAGAATTAGGTGGCCTCTGCTTTCCAAGAAAAACCTGCTGGTCAGACTGAAGGTTGCCAGAGAGAACATAGACAAAGACTAGAGCTTTCATAAACCTATTTAATAGCCGGGCGTTTTTGTTTTTTTCTTTGTTTGTTTTTAACTTGTAAGGCAGGTGTCTCCGTCTAAAAACCAGCAGTCACTGGCATATGACAAAGATGCCCTTTGTTTACATGAATTATTTTAAACATAAAATAAAGATCTGCTGTTGTTAACTGATGAGGAAAATTGAGGAGTGACCCCCAAAAAGCCTTCTAACTCCTAGGGTGGGGTTTGTTGACATAGTGCAGATTATCCACAGTGTAATCCTTTGATTGTAGACAACCAGCAACGATATTTTATTCTCAAACATCTCAGTTCTTTCAAATAAAGAGGGGAAAATATTCACGGTGGGGTTAGGGATTCAAGCTCTCTCCTTGCCTCTGTACTTGTCACCGTCATTCATCACCGCCTATTTGTTCTTCAGACGAGTTAAACCTGAAACTGTTTCACCGTAAAACAAAGTCATGTTTGTGTTTGTATGTTTTCCTTCTGAGGTCATTAAATGAGAGCTTCTCAGACTCAGAGAGGACAAAACTGCATTTTCTTCTTTAACGAAGCAAATGCAGTCTTTACTGTATGCAACAAGAGTATAGTATAATAATGTATTTCCACCTCAGCCTGAATCCAGAATACGTGTATGACAGTAAATTTCATAGCAGTCTGAGTAGATCCTTGCAATTTTAATGTTGTTTACAGTAAAATCAAGATGATGATAGTGCCTTTTTTTTTTAAATGACCCATTCCAAACTCTGACCTTGGCCTCTTTAAAATTACGTCACAGAAACTTTACAACAAATCCCCGCAGGCATCGCTGACCCGAACCAACGAGGTGAAGCGGAGTGAGCCGAGATTGCTGGAGATACAGGAGGCTGATGTGAAGAATTTAATTTATGCCAAAGATGGTTCTAAATATGGACTGATTTTTTTGTTTTTGTTTGTTTTTTTCTATAATTGGCTGCCTATATTCATTTAGCTGCATAATAAATATGCATTCATTCATGCATGCAATGTTAAATATTATTTTTACATTTTTTCTCCAGTCTCTGTTGATTCAAATTTTGGATCTTCCCTTTGCTGCTTCGATCCAAAACGTACATATCAAGTAGGATTTCATGTTCGGTCTGTTTGAAGGACTAGCTGTACGTCTTCATTTTTAATTGTTCTGCTTCGGTGCATTTTGTCCTGAACTGAAATCCCCTGTGACCTTTTCAGGTGCAGGAACATTCCCCGGGTCACCGCGCACGACTGGAGCCGTTCTTCGATTTTATCATCTCAGTTTGTGACACTAGACTGGTGGGTGTTTATGTGAAGCATCCAGGGCTCACACCACCATCTTCCTGTTTGAACATTGATGTTAAAGTATGTCTGTAACAGAACAGGGACAACGACACCCTGAAAGAGCTGCTGAGAGTGAACGTGGAGAGGCCTGTCAAGATGCTGCTGTACAACAGCAGGACGCAAACTGTCCGGGAGACGACCATCACGCCCAGCAACACGTGGGGCGGCCAAGGCCTTCTGGGGCTCAGCATTCGCTTCTGCAGCTTTGAAAGAGCCAATCAAAACGTTTGGCACGTCTTGGTGAGTGTGCGGGTCTCGTTGAAGCTCTGTTTGTCATCAGATCCACTGAGTTAATGTTTGCCTGTCTTGTTTCTTTATTGAGGAGGTGGAGCCAAACTCTCCTGCAGGCCTGGCTGATTTGAGGCCTTATGTTGACTACATAATCGGAGCGGACACGGCTATGCGTGAGGTAAACCCTCTGTGCTGATTGGGGGTCTTTTGTGTGGTGACTTGCAAAACGATTCACTTTTCGACTGTGAACGTCAGAATATATATATATTTTTTTGGCAATTTCATGTCAGACAGACAGAGTGATGAAGAATTTTGAATTGAAATTATACTTCGGTCTCTACTTTTTAAAAAAAATTGAAATCAAAATCTGAAAAGTGGGGCCTGTATTTATATTCAGTGGTACGGAGTCACTACTTTGTAGATTCAATTTAATCTCAGCTCCATCTCATTTGGGCTCTGTCTCTACCAGCGCTTCATTGTTCTTTCCTACAAAGAAGAATGTCAGATTGGATGAAGAGTATCTGAGAGCAACCGTTTTCAAGCGACAAGTTGTCTTGACTTTGACTAGGCCATTTGAATGCATGGATATGCTTTGATCTGAAGACTTTCATTGTAGTTCTTGGCTTAATGTTTAGGGTTGACATCCTTCTGAAAGTGAAGCTCTAACAGGTTCTCTGTCGGGATCACTCCTGTATCTTCCCAACAGCTTTGTTTTTTGTTTTTTATCAACTTTAACATATCTGCTGAACCAAAGCATCCAAACAACACAACACAACACTGACACCGCTTTGTTCACTGTGTGGACTGACACTTTTACTAGGCACTTAAGATCAAATTTGCTGCATATCTCTACCTGGTCTGTACTTTTGTTCCCTGAACAGAGCGAAGATCTGTTCTCTCTCGTCGAAGCGCACGAAGGGAAGGAGCTGAAGCTCTACGTTTACAACACAGACGCAGACAACTGCCGCGAGGTGATCATCACCCCGAACTCCGACTGGGGCGGAGATGGCAGGTATGATGCGTGGAGAAAATGATCCTTGTTGCCTTTTGACAATGGAAAGTTCAAGTAATACTTTTTTGAAAACACATTGGAGAGATTACCTGGCTGATCAATTTACTGAGACATAAAAAGAAAGGCACAAAATCTAATTGCCTCTGGTGCAAATCTGCCTCCTCTACTTGAATTTTTATGGGCCAGGTGCTGAAATGAAACTTAACCTAATTCCAAAAAGCAGGTGCAGGATGCATATGGTGCCTCCTCTGAAAGTGATTGTGCATAAACTTGATTTTCTCTCCCATCTTTAGCCAAGAATAGAAAAAGACACCCTTCTGGTTAGTCATTTATCTTCAATCAGGATTGTCAGCTAGGCTTGACTAAAGGAAATATTAAAGTATGCCATTGCATCAAGCAAGACATACGTTAAATGCCCTCTTTTCCTCGGGCAGCAGGAACAGTGGATGCCTCCAGTGATTGTTCTGCATAGGAGGAAGATCTAGCCTTCAAATAACCAGAGAGTTTTATATATTAGGCTCTTGCCTCATATATAATATAATTTTTGAAACTCGTCATGCAGAGTAAAGATTACATGAAAATAAACAAAAATGAATTACTTGATTATACACAAAAGACTAAGATGGTAGCAGTAATAGTAGTCACACAAGTCAGGTGAATGTGTGCTGTTCATAGATTCCCAGACTTTTCAACCCAGACAGGTCCTGGGTTAAAATTTCTGCTGGAGTTTCTTTGTTTGGCACTTTGTGACTGAACTTAACTTGAAGCTTTTGATGTGTTTAAATCATTGAATGTTTTAGTTTTGCTTTCGCTACAGGCTTGGTTTGTTTCAGCATCTTATTTCTGGAAAAACAAAAACCTTTCCTGAGCTGTTCTGCTATTTTTGCCTGCATGTCTGATTCTGCAGTCTCGGATGCAAGATCGGGTTTGGTTACCTGCACAGGATACCTACGCTTAAGGAGGAAAAGAACTCCCGTTCCTCTTCACAGAATCATAAGGCATCTCGTATACCCAAAGACGGCTACACAGAGGTAAGGTGACATGAAAAATGATTTATTGCTTCATCTCCTTCAAGGTCTTGTTGACATTTAGAGATAAAGAAATTCTGGTTACCAGGTCCAACTCTCTGCTGTCATTCCAACCGTTCCAGTTGTCGTTTCGTCTTCTGCTCCAACTGGATTAGAGCAACCTCTCAGCAGCTTATCAGTCAGCTCTGAGCCAACGGCTGTCCTCGTTAACACGCCGACAGGTAAAAAAAACCTGCCTGATTCTTTACTGGAAAATCCTGGATTTACCAGACATATTAAATTGGCCTTTTCCCCCCTATTGTTGACATGTTTCTACTACCATCCTGCTGTTTCAGGAATTCCCGTCATCCCATCGCCCAACCATGCAATTCCCCAGCAAACATTCCCTCTGCCGGTAAATGGTGCTGTAACACAACCAGGTTTGTGAGTTTGGTTTTACATCAGAACTAACCAAATGTTGCACAAAAGAATAAACGGTCAAAGAAAATGAATTAAGGTTTTCGTTTGTCACATTATATATTTATCTCGAAGACTAGAGCTATTGATGGCATTGCACTACATGTCAAAAGTTCTGCAACAAATTTAGAAACGAGATCATTGTTGAGTACGGATAAGGATGGAAAAAGATGTCAAAAAGCCCGGAATGTTCCCAGTGTTGTTGTTGGAAGTATGGTACACTAATTGAATTTAACGAAACGGAGGCTAAAGTGCAGAAAGTGGAAGCTCGTGGTGTTGGCTCGGTGATGATATGGAGCTGTTTCATTCTGCATTAACTATTTCTAAGACTCCAATAGTCATTAAGTGGTACTTTGTTTTGAATTTGGAGCTTTTGAGCTGCTTAAATTGTTCACTTATTGAAACTGCTGCTAGTTTTGATACTTTGCCAATTAACTTAAATTGTGTGTTAGCTGGAAAAAATGGGATTGCTGCTGTATTTATAAACCACCAGACTTCACTCTGTATCTAAAGTAGCTTTGGTTTCCTGTCGCTCAGGCTCGATTCCCCTTCCTGGAGCTATTCCAGCCTTTCCTAATTTACCAAACCTAAACGCAACTTTTCCAGAAGTGGGTCATGTTCTGCCGCCTGGAGTTGGGATACAGCATGACGGTATGCTTCGCTTCACCTCTCTGTGCTTGGATTCTAAATGATTGTGAATGCTGTTTGAAGTTCTGTATTTCACAAAAGTACAGTGAAAATAGCTGCTTGTATCACACACGTCCTCTTTAAACGTTTTCATTTGCTGAAAGTAGTTGTCATATTTTTATGGAGTCAAAATTCTTTTTAAGCCATCTTGTGTTTGTAAGTTTTCGATTCATTGACGGAGAAAAGCCATCCACGACATCATGCGCATATTTGGAAAAATTGCCCCCTAAATCAAATGATAAACTGATCATCAAAGTCAGGATTTTCTGATGGATGGCAGAATTTATGACTGAAGTCGTTCAGGTCTTGAAGCACCACTTCCCCACATTATCGCATGCTTGAGTCAGTATGAGTTTTTTTATTTTCTCTGATTAGACATAACGTGCACACACTTGTTTTCTCAACAGTCCACAGAATATTTTCTGAAGTCTTGGGGAACAAGAGGATGTTTTTTTGGGGGGAAATGTGGGACAGGTGTTTTTTTTTCTTTTTGGTCAGTAGAGGTTTCTATTCCATAGATGCTGTGTTTGCTCAGTTTGTGTGCGATTGATTCATGAGTACTGAGATGAGTGAGGCCTGCAGAGCGCTGGATGCTGCATTGCTAGGTGACTTTCTGAATAAATTGCAGGTGCACTCTTCCAGTAATTTTGCCTCCTTAGAAGGTTCATTGCCATAAAGATTTTTTTCCATTTATGGGAAATGACCGTCACTGTCTCTTCCTGGAATCCCAAAGCTTTTGAATGGGCTTTGTAACCCTACTGATACTGATTTCTAGTCTTTGAGCCTCATTTGTCTCTTTCCTTTTGCAGTTGTTTGGCCTACTTCATGTTGTCAGACAGGTTCTATTTGAGTCTTTTATTGCAGGATGACTATCGTTTTAATGAAGGGATGGATTTGTTTAATAAATACAATCATGATTTGAAAGATGCCTTTTGTTTACTCAAAGAGAAAATAAATCTCAACGCAGCTTTTATTTCTGTTGCTCTCTGCAGGTCTTCCTTCTCTCAACCTTCCAGCTGCAGTTTCCAGTGTTACTCCCGAATTCATTTGTCCACCTGTTGCTGTTAATTCACACACCGCCATCTATCCCTCTTCCTCCATCCGTATGAACAGTTCACTGACCAAAGCCCCCAACCATTCATCAGTGACCAACTCTGGAGCAATTAATTTCACTGTAACTGTGGACTCATCTTAGCACGAGGGAACTCGTGAAGACGACACCTCGCCCTCAAGTCCTTCCACAGTATAAGCAGTCAGTCGCTGACAAATTGGTCGTTTAAACCATGTTTGCGTTTGAGCTCCTGGAGGACGCTGAAGATACACGTGAGGAATTTCAGCTGAATTTAGACATAACTCAAGGCTGTTGCTATTCATTTTCACTTGTCCTCGGAAGCCGATCATAAAATGTGGAAAACTCGAATCCGGTTGTCAGCATCATTTCATTTTAGTGGTTAGATTACTGAAAAGTATCAGGAGAAAGATTAAAAAAGCTTAAGACGTTGAGCTGCTGAGGATTTTTTTTTTCAGGTTTGTTTGCGCTGTTGTAAAATCATCTTTGATTGCAAAAAAAAACAACAAAAAAACCCAGTAAAGTTTGATATAATCTTGACTCCAGTTATTCTCCTCTTCTGGTTTCTCCTGATTTTTTTTCTAAGGAAAAACATGTAGTTCCACACATCACCAGAAGATGGTGTTATAGGCTTGAATACACGTGGCATTTAAGTCTTTGAGAAATTTTTAAAACAAAACTTTTGAGTGCTCTGTTAATTTCAAGAAATCAAGATAATGAAAACCCAACATTTAGTTTCTCAGACAAACTGTGCTCAGGAAATCTACCATAAACCATCAAACTACCAACAACACTGATCTGACGCTTCACACTGAATATCTACAAGGATGAAAGTGTAGGATGAAAGTGTAGGATGAAAGTGGTATGAAAGCACACAAATGAAAAGTTATGTGGAAGGAAAAAAACAAACCTTCCAGCATCACTTGTGGACAAATTTTGTAATTTGTTGGCCTATATTTTAAGTATATTTGTGACATTTGTATTAATCAGTATAATGGTCCTGCATAATATAAGATACCAAAGTGAGGTTTTTGAGTTGTAATGTATAATTACCTAAATTAACACTAAAGAAACAACTAAAGTATCTGATTTTCATTTTAGTTCTGGATCCAACCAGTAATCTGTTTAATCCATTGTCAGAACCTGAGCCCCTCCTGTACAATTTAGTTTTAATTATATTCTCCACTGAACAGCACCAGTAAATATTGATAGGAATTGGATATCAGGTCATCAATGACATTCATTGAGGGGAAGAAAAGCCCAACTATTTCTTGGAATTTATTATTCACTCCAAGCAGAACTGTACAACTTGTACCCAAAGTGGAACATACAGCCCTTGAAAAGGTAAGAGCAGCAAAGCAGCAAAATGAAAACACTCCAGGAAACTCATTTTATGTCAGGAAAACTTTTAACTCCTTTAACACATCACTGCTGCAGTTCAAAATTTGAAAATTCACCTATACAGCATATACAGTTTCCAATTTATATGTTAATATTCCTGCATAGGGTTTTATACATAATTTTTCTACATTTGGTTACTTTGTGCATTTAATGTATGTAAGTATGCTGCTCCAGCCTACATGACACTAGATGCCACTTATATGCTACACATTACATTCCCATGGCTAAGTTACTCAAATTAAAGCCTAACATTTGTGGGGGGGAAAAAAACAAAAAACAGAACAATTATCCAAATCAATAGTGAAATTTCTTTAATTCTACATAACAATGACTGACTTCTCCTCACAGTAAGTTAACTTCTAGCAGCTGAATCATTTGCATCCTGGCAGGACAGTCTTATTAAATCAAATGGCACACAGCCGAACCTCCATTCAGCCACTGAATGCTCCATTCATCTGCAACGTCTCTACAGGGTGTCCAGTCACATTTTCTTCAAAATACATAGTTTCAGTGCTTTTATTGGACGCCCATCCCAACACACGTTCTGTAAAACACGACTTCTCCATCCTTCCACTGATAAAAGTCCCGATAAAAGAGAAGAATCCAGGCGCAGGTCAGAGGAGACCATCAAACATCCCCACTCTCCGGTCCTGCTCTTTCTGCTGCTCCCATCACGTGTCCAGGCCTCTCGATGAGCCTCATAGTTGCAACTTCAGTTCTTGCTTCGCCTCTCTTATAAAGTTCAAAACTGTCAGTATGAGATGAGACTGGATGAGGCTGAGCCAGCGCTAGCAGCGCTCATCTGTAGATTTCCAGAGGAGCTCGATCTTCGCATTTGAGGGAGCAGGTAGGGGTCGCTTCCCAGCTGGAGAACGTCGACTCGATCCTCCTTCCTGTAGGCCAGGCAGCGTCTTATGAAGGCCTGAAGAGGAAAATCGGTTCATTAACTGAAGTCCAGTCTGGGTTCTTAAAGTTTAGACTGCAAAGTCTAATAAACAGTTACGGGTTCTGATGCATTGACCAAGTCTTGATGAGAATTTACTCTATTTTCTCACTGACAGCAGTGAACAATTTACAATCCATTTAATTTAAGGTTTAAATGGAGAAAACAAGCTTTAGACAATTGACACCGATATGACTGAATAGAAACTTTAATGAGTTTAAAGAACTTTGCCGTCTTCCTCTATAAAACTTTATCCTAATATCCCTAGTAAATTTTAAAAATGCATCGCCTCTGAACCAAGCACCTTTTCTGGAGTAAATTTTTACCCATGTAACTTACTTTTACCCTAATAAATACAGTAATAAACCAGGTGATAACAGCCTCAGAAAACAAGCCAAGCTCCTGGAAATGTGATAAAAGACCACGCATTAAATGTTCCGTTTTTCTCAAACGGAAAAAAGTAGGAATAAAAATGGTTTTGATGAAAAGTCTAATAAATTAGAGGAATTTTTATAAAAAATTATGCTGTTCTTTCCTGATGTATAAATGTACTTTAATTAGGTTTTCTTTTGTTTGTTTTTTGTGTACTGCTGTATTAAAAGTTATATCAAATTAAAGGCTTACTATACCCCTTTACCAAGGGCGGATGATACCTTAACGTGCTGAATAATATAGAATTACCGTAAATCCAAATGTGACGACTTAGAATATGACGTCTAAAAACAAGAAAAGGTCAAATGTTAAACCAAACATAAGATAAAGTCAAGTTATTTTTATGTAATCAGATCTTTCTAGTTTAGAACCTCTACACTTTATCAAGGCTGCTTGGAGATGGGAAAATATTCATTTTTGAAACTTTCCAATACAGGTAATGTGTAAGAAATAAGACACACCTTCTTAAAACAATCCAAAACAAGCAAGTCTCCTACCTTAGCTTCATTACTGACAACTGGCTTTACAGGAAACTGGACCTCAGTAGCTTTGAGAATAGTGTTCTCCTGCAGAATGTCCTGCTGCGACTGGTTGTGGCCAAACGGCTGGAAAACAGGAAAAACTTGGTTCAGGCTCAAGTTACCAAAAGACAAATATTATCAGACTATCTGTCTCACCTTTCTTCCATACAAACACTGGAAAAAGATGACACCGACTGACCACACATCCACCTTATTGGAGATCTTTGGCGGTTCTTTACCAACCACAAAACATTCAGGAGGAAGGTACCTTTGAACCAGATCAATACAGTTTAAGGTCTTTGGAAGAATATTTAGACACATTGAATACAACCTGGGAGCACTGCAGCATTGTATTGGTAAATTTAGTTTTGTAAATCCTTCAAACAGCTCTCTATGAAAATGATGCCTTCATGCACACCGTGTGTTTTCCTTACCAGTAGGTTCCTGCTCCCTGCGACGTCAGGTCCATCCCATCAACGCCATAGTTGTCGTCATCCATTATTTTGGAAAGACCGAAGTCGGTGATTTTTATTTCCCCGCAGGCTGTGCCGTCCACCAGCAAGATGTTACCTGCACGTCAGTGTTGACAGTAAGGTCAACACTGAATCTGTGATCAAACATTAAGAGGCGGTAAGTGTTCAGACGGTTCGTTTACCTGGTTTAAGGTCATAATGGATGATGGGAGGTTTGATTTCGTTTAGATATTTTAGTGCGTTCACAATCTGCATGACGATAGACCGCGCCTCTTTCTCAGACATTAGCTTATGCTGCTTCAAGTAGAAATCCAAGTCGTTGCCCTCACAGTACTCCATGACTGTACAAAACCTGTTCAATGAATCAATGATTATAGCCGACATTGAACAAGAGACCACGGAAAGAACAAGAATCCAGGCAGTTACTGACGTGTCTGTATCCAGTGAGAAGTAGTCATAAAGTTTTACGATCCTGGGATGGTCGAGCTCCTTGTGTATTCTGTACTCTCGACATGCATGCCTGGCAGAGATGAGGCGGTTTTTACACCGTTAAACCAAGAAAACAAGGTCCAGACACAGTAGATTATGAACCATTAGTTTCCTGTTAGACCCACATACTTGTGATAGTTCTCCTTTTTCTCTTCTCTCCAGTTCTTATTAAGTTGATGAATCTTCACAGCAGCATATCGTTGTTCAATCAAGTCAAAAGCCTGAAGAGCACATGCAGTAAATGTTAAACAATCCAGCTCCGGGTGACCTTTAAGTCTTTAATCCGAGACAGTTTCAAGCCTACCTTGTAAACTTCACTAAAGCCTCCCCGACCCAAGAGATGTAGGAGCAGATACCGTTCATTTAGCGTGGGATGATCTTTAAATCTTAAGGTGGAGAACGGGAGAAAAACATCATTTATTATTTCAGCTCATTCTCCACATAGCTTTTTGTCAAGCAATAACAGACTTTAAAACTGCTTAGTGGATGTTGATAGTATCTGTGTGTGCGCATTAAGTTCCAATGTCAATGCAGCATCTGTCAAAGGATTATATATAGACTCACTGGGAGCTGTCTTCATTATTTATTCTCTTCAGCTCCCTAATGTGAAGGTTGCGGACTCTCTCCAGGCGCTCCAGCTCAGCCTGGATCTCAGCTTCTTCCTATAAATGATTCAAGCACGTAAACATACAAATGCAAAGAGGCAACTTTAGAGAACCGACAGCGAGGAGAGGAGATCACCTGCCAAAGTTAAACTGCTGGATTGGCTTTAAACAAGATGGGAAATCAAAGCATTTAACTAATTTCTAATATCTGAGTTTTAGGTTCACACCCATTAATACATTGTGTCATTATTTAGTGACAATGACACAATCACTATCACTAGATAATGCTTCAGTCATGTTTAAAAAAATGACTGAAGCCAATTGTTGCAAAAACCAACCAACCAAACAAAAAAAGAATATTGTATTCAGTATGCAGTGATTATGGGAAATATGTGATCTCAAACAAACCTTCTTCAGATGTCCAAGTCGCAGTTTGAAGATCTCTTCCTGTTCATGGTACTCTGCTAGAGTCAGCCTAATTAGGATGAGGCAAAGAGGGGCGATTACTCACAGTTCAGCTCTCAGTTCATAGGAAAAGAATAAATGCTTAAAGTATAAAACCAAAAATAAGTGAACTAACTGCAGCTCTATTAATCAGACCAAAGCAAGAAAGCAAGAATAGAAAGGAAGGAGATGAAGCAGGGAAAGGAAATGGAACAAAAAGAAGGAATTGAGG